CTTTCATTTAATTGTTCTAATCCAGTGTAAAAAAAGGTTACAAACAATTTAATCAATGATACAATTTAACGATAACAATTAAATTGCTTCTAGATTGTTTACAATTTGGAGCTTTGTCAATTTAATGATTAGATTTTAATTTTCGACTTTTTTTCTCGTCATGTAAAAAATATCTTCTTGTCTGATTCGAGTTGAAATGGATTAAGAGATTAAGCTTTGAATTTTGATCATTTTTTCATCTTCCATTCAGTTAATAGTAGTTATCATCATCTCGATCAAAGGTAAATCCATTTAAAAGTAAAAGCTATTTAGACTTCATCTTCATCTTCATCAGGATGATGAGCATCTTCCTCATCCTCATCATCTTTTCCTCTTCATTTTTTCAACCCAAAGAGAGATTTTATCTCTTATCATCATTTGTATCATCATCTTCATTTCTAATCTGATTGCAAAGGAAAAGGTATTCACCACAATCTTATTCTTGACCATAGTGAGTTTACAATTGACCGATGGTCAAGATCTTCAGATTATGATGAAGATAAAATTGGTTGAATGTCATGATAGTTTGTTCATGAAACTAGAAATTGAGCTCGAAATCAAATCCAATTTCCGTTTCCTGAGTTTAATTTTCAGAGTAATTTTGATTGACTTGGACAATAGCCAAACCATTGTCAATCCCAAGGGCAAACTAATTTCAACAATTAGATTATCAAATTAACAATCAAATCCCAAAGCAAAAGAGAGGGAAAACAAACTTTGAAATTGGGTCAATGAAATTAATCATCATCTCTGACCGGTCAATTGTGTTTCTAATGACTATTATTTGCATCTTATTGAACTGAGAAAAAGTTTCTCAAGTGATGACCAAAAGTTCTGAAAAAAGTTAATGGTCAGTTGAATAAAACTTAAAGTTTATCAGAAATGTTCATAAATCCTAATTTAAACTCTTTTGTCTGTTTTCATCGTGATGGTCAACATTGTTTTAACCTTCATCTGATTTAACTTGACCATTATCCATAATTGTCATCATGACAGATAATGGTTTTCAATACTAATCTCATGAGAAACATTATCGATCAATTTCATGAAATCCATGAATCTCAGCATCTCTCCAGAGTTTTTTTACTTTTCTTTCATATAACTTTTTACCTTTCATACCTACTGGACACTGTTGATGACCATTGTTACATAATGTTTTTTATCAGATAAAATGAATGAAACTCAGACCAGAGAGAGAGAGAGAGAGAGAGAGAGAGAGAGAGAGAAAAATGGATTCCTAAATGCACTTAACTCCATAAGTAATAATAATAAAAGTATAAGATACAAAGGGACAGAGTGACCAGTGAGTTTATAAGTGACCAGTTCAGTGATTTTTTATTTTACAATTTAGATAAATTGTCAAATTAAACTAGTTGATTGTTGACATGGTTTTTTCAACGGTAAATCTTTCAAATCTATTGGACGTTAAAGGGAAAATGAAATCACATAAATTTCATTTATTGAGATTCAAATAATCGGATCACCATGGAATATGAAATTTCATGGATTTAACCTGAAACAGAATGTGATTCCTTTTATATGATAATCATAATGATAATGTGATAAAATTAACTGCTCTTGGTGATTCAAGTTGTTCATCCACCACCACCCACTTTCCTTTGATTGTTCAGATAATCATACATGATATACAAGTTATCCGGTTCCTTAATCGATCCATTGGGAATCCATGTGATTTTTATAACATTAAGTTGAAAGGGCGTTGAGACAACAGAGATGATGATCATGATGACGATCATCAAAATGATAATGATTCTTCATCACCATCATCATTATCATCATGATATCACCTGAAAATATTGATGGTCAATTGACCTCTCGAGATTGTATTTACCTGTGAACTGTAATCAGAGCAAAAAGTGATAACCATTTAATTATCTTCTCAGTTTTATCGCCATTTTTACCTGGATTAAGCTCTTGAGTAGATTATAAATTGTGTCAACTAATCAGATTTAAGTTGATGATTAGTTTGTAATGAATAAGAAATCAAGAAGAAAAAAATTTGATTGATTTTCCTCATCGATTGATAATCAATTCAACCTTCTCACCAGGAAACATATTATTGATTGGATAATATTAATTATAAATTCTGATTGAAAATTTCCCTCTTGATTGTTGAACTGTTGCTTTAATCAATTAATCAGTTTACAAGAATACAAATGAAACTTGGAACTGAGTTTCAAGGTAACAATTGTGTATCTATTTTACTGAGTTTTTTGTTGAAATTTTTTTCTTTCAAGTTGAGGTTTTTACATGGGGAAAACTACCTGACATTCATCAAAGAAGAGAAGTCAAAGTTTGCCTGTTCAATCAACATCATCATCATCATTCATCTCCTCTCACACCATGATAAAAATTTCATTCACGTTCATGAATAGTTGAGTTCAATTCCCATGAAAGTTTTCAGATGAATTGAAATCAAAACAACAACAAACCTCAAATTGATTTGGACAAGATTCAAAATTTCCAATATGGAAACAAATTACTCGATCAATTCATTTCCATACTCACAGAGAAAGCTCAGTGATATTGAAATTCTCATATTCTGAAAACTTATTCTCCTCAAGTTTTTTTCACGATAAAATCATCAAATTATAACCTCAACTCTCAATCAAGGTAACAATCAAGATACGAAATTCAATTGTTATTCACGAGAAAACATCATATTCATATAAGATTATGAACTTTTCTTGTGGTCATCTGATGGTAACCATGTTAAGAGGCTATTTTAAGATTAATCTTCTTACTTACACCCAACAACATCTTCTGAATCACCATGATGCTAACCAACTTATTCATTGAATAATTTATATGAAAGGAATAGAAATTAAACTTTTATTCCCTGTTGGTTCATGATTATTCTGAAATCTCTCAATTCTCAGTGTTTCAACCATTGTAATGAAGATACAAAGAGATTAATTAACATTAGAATCAGAGATTTTTCCTTGATGGAGAAAAATTTTGTATTCCAAGAGATAGAAACAGTTTTTCATCATGAAAATTATTCAGAATATTGAGAGATGCCACATGAAAGTGAATCTAAATCAATATACTAATCGATTCTCATCTGTCACATCCAGACTTACGGCAGAAAATTTTGTGCAGTTAATTCATGATAATTATTGCGACTATTACCTGGTCATAATATTCAAATTTTTGAACTTTCGAACTTTCGAAAAAAAAGTTTTGAATTAACGGTTTTTCTCTTAGAAAACTGATACTTCCCTGACTATGAGAATATTTTGCTTCTCAGAATTTAGCTTGAGGGAAGCAAATTGAATGGATCATGAAAAGTGAATTCATTAAGAAAAAGTTTCCATTCATGATAACAATAAAGATGATAATGATTATAACAATAAACAGTTCAGTAGAATGATGAAAACGGAAGAAAGAAAAAATCTTATATCAAGTTACATGGCAGAAGCAATTGATTCTCATGGTGGCAATGGAAAAAAAGTAGAGAGATAAAAAAGTTCTTGACTCAATGTTGATTATTAATATAAGAACAACGTTATGAGTCTATCTCTTGGCTGGAGAAAATTACTCGACATGATAAAAGTTCTGGGATGACGATGGTAAAATTGTATATCATTAGCATTGAGAGAGAGGGAGAACAGGAAAGGATGGTGATGAGGATGAGGATGAAAATAAAGAGAACAAGTTACTCTCGTTCTCTCTCCCGTTAATGGCTTCTCCTTTTCTCAGATTATCTTTTTTTCTGGTTACCATGATGGTTACCAGTTAATAGTTAATATCAGAACTTGTGAGTCTTTAGTGTCCTGTAAGTTAACACATGAAGTTGCCTTGAAGGACTAACAGGAAACTCTGAACAATTTACATGAGTTTTCAGTTGATGAGAAAGTGAGATTTTATGGATAGAGTATCATGCTCCAGGATATTGCCCCAGGGGCTGGAAGATGCTGTTCTGTTTGTACATTAAACTATGTACCATGTAGATGATAACAATGGACGATATAAGAGATAAAAGTTTGAAACTTTTCCCCCTGAATTCTGAAGATATTCAAGCAAGTAGGATGAAAGAAAAGTTTCAAATGACAATTAACTAATAGATGAAACTTTGAGAGTTCCAATGCGATTGATTCAATTCGTCTGAACTTTTCTCGACCCTTTCAACTCTAATTTCCTCTATTCTTTCATGTTATCATACGAATATGATTAGAACATGAATTTTTGAATAAGTTACATAAGTTTATTCAAAAGGTGAATTTGAATTACCTGTCAACATGAAATGAATATGAATCCGATTTTATGTTTCACCTTTTCTGAGAATAAAACAAAAAAATCTTTCATGATTCAAACTACTAATCATTACGATTGCATCAGATAAGTTGATTGAAACGATAACAGCATGTTAATCATGATGATTTAATAGAATTGATGTGAAAAAAATTCGAACCAAAAAAAGTTCTACCACAACATTGAATCGAAATGAAGATTTAAAAATATTTATTCTTAATGGAGTCATTATCGGTTTAGATTAAATCGTTCACGATCCTAAACCAATATTATCATCAATTCTGTTTCCTGTTTATCATTGGAAATCATCATCATCATCATATGATTATTACCACATGAAGATGATGATATCATCCAAATGAGAATTCAAAGTTTACAATTTTCATGTTTTTTCCCTGCAATGAGCTCGGAAAAAAGTTCTCTGATGAAATGATAACTTTTCTTCCCCTTCAAATTGAATTTCATATTATTATCATTCCCTGAACAGGGAGTTAATACTATTATTGTTATGATCATGATAATAGTTGATAAGACAATGTTGTAAAATGACTTTTACCGTTGACATAATATTATCATCTTTCTCTATCACCCTAACCTTTTCATCCTCATCCTTTTAACACCATTTACATTTCTCAGTATCATGATAATAATTTTTTCTCTCTCTCTCTTTATCTATTTTATCTTAGCAAATGGATCATCTCGTATGATTAACTCATCTTATCATCTTTGGAATGGTCTGCTCATCATCATCATCTTAACAACTTGGAATCCATCTAATGGATTGAGCATCTCATCATCTCTTTGAAATAAAAAAGACACAAAATCATTTCTGTTAACATGTAATAATATTTTCATTTGGAACTGAACAAGATGAAAATGAAAAAGATTCCGAATGAACATTTAAATCAAATGTAAAGAGTGGAAGAGGAAAAACAATGAATTTCGGGGTGGGGTGGGTATGGAATAGGAAAAGGAAACGAGGAAGGGAGTGGGAGAGATGATGACATCTAAAGGGATGTAAATGGGAGGCGGAAAAGGTTAGGAGAGGTGAGAGGTGAGAGGAAGAGTTAAAATGTTAGTTCTATAACATTAGCGTTGATTGACTTTCTTTTTGTAACTAATTTGTTTTTCCTTTCGCTGATTAATGATAATCACAAGCTCAAAGTTTAACTTTGTTTAATCATTGTGATTAACAATCGATTATGATGACTAATTAACTTGACTTAATCTTCAACATCTGATTAATTATGTTTAAATATTCTGATTATGAGTATTGATTGAAATTCAATTGCGACAATAATAAGAATCAACTTTTTCCTTTTTGGTATAAATAATTGTATAACTAATTAACTAATTGTAACAATTAAAATCTTGTTAGTTAACCAACTTTTTTTGTTATTAAGCAAAATCAGATCGCTTATCATAATTAACTCATTGATTCACTTTAATTGCTTCGGTTTAATCGTCAATCCTTGAAATCTTTATAATAATTAACATGTTAAATTATAAACTTTAATCCGATTTAAACAATTAATTCCACTTAATCATTATTTCCCTACCTCACGATTGCTTTGGACAATTAGCTGAATAACAACAATTTAAATTGTTCATCATAAATTGGATAATTAGTTTGATTCAAGTTGATCATCAAACAATTTGAAATGTTATTGTTCAGTTGTTATGAATTTCCAGAATAATTAAGATTAACTCGTTGATCATTATGATTTAATTTGGATAAATTGTTACAATTTACATAAAAAAGTTAATAAGATTAACTATAAAAATCTAAGTAATCATGTTTTAGGTTAATTCCTGAGGGTAATCAAGATAAAATAGCTCTTGCTTTGATTACAATCAACTGATTGTTCAGAATTAATGAGTTCCAGCCTTGCAAATATGAACAAAGTGACAAATTGTAGTAATAGTTAACACGACAATCAATTAAAAATGTTTAACAAAATCGTCTCAATTAGACTAATAGTAGTAAATACTTCAAGGTTAATCTACAAATGAAATTATCACAATTAAGATCAAGATATGGATCATCTCAATTTAGTTAATCAATTGTGGGCCTACGTTAATGGTTGAAATTTTCAATTGCGTTTTAAATTGTAGATGTTTAGTTTTCATCAATTGGAGATAGTTGATTATAATTGAGTTAATTGTTGATGATTTAATGAGCTTGTTGCCAGTTGGTGAAATTGGATAGGGTTTTATGTTGATAGTAATTGATAATGTAAATTGCTGATCTAAATTTAACGAATGAAAAAAACTTTCTAATTATAATTTCGTCTTTTTTTTAATCACAATTTTAAATGAATCTTGATTGTTGTTGTTGTTGATGTTGATGTTGATCCTCTGTTGATTTGGCATCAATCCACTTTGTGGTTAATCAAAAGTAATCAAATTGCAGTTAAACATTAAATAAGGTTAATCAACAATAAATTTCTCGACAATTTGTATTTAATTGTGAGATTTTCATACTTAACTTTAAAGTTTAATCATCTTCACATTATCTTCATCATCTTTGTATAATTGATTGTCGCGAAATCTTCAATCATTTGATAGTCGACTGGGAAAAGGTCCTAGCAACGGATGTTCAGTTTATTGAGACCGTTTTCACCGAAGAGGATCCATATATTGATCTTCTACTAGATCGAGAAATTCTGAACAAGACTTTGTGCGGTGTTCGAACCTCAAATGCCGAATCATGAGTGTATCAGCGTTGTCAATATTCGAGGGACTTGAAAGGCACCAAAAGCAAAGAAAACTAAGTCACCCAAAGGATTGATTTGGAAACGTCCGTTCGTGTGTATTGACTGTCGTAAATGAAAATCGAATTTGTGTCTCGCTAATTTTTTCGATCGAATTATTTTATGTACTAATAGAATATCGTATGTCCATATTATTTTGCTTCCCCTCGCGATTGGAGATTTTTTCTATTGAAACGATATGTAGAACTTTCTGATGAGAAAGAATTTCTGGTAAGAGCACAGTTCGAATCGTATTCTGGTGGTCGATCATTTTTTTCGAGTTTTCTTTGTCTCAGCTTTTTTGTTCTTTTTTCCTTGTGATTTACTTTCTCCGTTGGCTTCATTATTTTCATTAACTACTTCCAGTTCTCGAATTTGTAAAAAGTCAACACTCGGAGCTCTTAAACGAGTCATATTCTTGGTTATCCACCGAGAGTAGATCAGAGCTAAACTAATTACAAGAGAAATCAAATTGATCATAATAATTAATGATCTTCCAAATTGCATCCAATCAGTTAAGTCTTCAGGGGCTATTGGTTTGCTTTCGATCGGTTCAGAACTGGTCATCTCTTTTTCAACGAATGGTGACCGAGGAACCAAAAGGAGTAAAGTTGTCACCAATGTGGAAATTAACAGAGTAACTGGACCCAATGACCTAAAATTGAATTGGCAACAAGTAAAATAGAAACAAAAAATTAGAAACTGGAATTGAAATTTCGTGTATCATTTACTTACGTGAACGGAGGTTTGGCTTTGGTAGTTAGCATTAGGACAATAATCGTAAGTGCCCAAAGAAGACACAATATAAATAATCCAGATCCTATTCCGAAAAGTCTCATGGCTCAAGTTAATCACGATCACAGTAAATCAATTGTTAATTTATCCGATCAACTTTGATTGTTGTACTTGTACCAGTTAATGTTTTGATATTCATGGAAATGTTATTACCATGGAAACAATTTTCCTATTCTGAATTATCGGTTTCGATTTGTTTACATCGGTCAATCCAGCGGGAGGATTAGCGAGTTGAATTATCGACCGAACTATCAAGAAGCTATTGATTGATTATTAAGATAATCATGTTGATTCAGTTACTAATTGTGATGTAAACTGCTGATCTAAATTTAACGAATGAAAAAAACTTTCTAATTATAATTTCGTCTTTTTTTAATCACAATTTTAAATGAATCTTGATTGTTGTTGTTGATGTTGATGTTGATCCTCTGTTGATTTGGCATCAATCCACTTTGTGGTTAATCAAAAGTAATCAAATTGCAGTTAAACATTAAATAAGGTTAATCAACAATAAATTTCTTGACAATTTGTATTTAATTGTGAGATTTTCATACTTAACTTTAAAGTTTAATCATCATCACAATATCTTCATCATCTTTGGATATTATAAGTATTGATTGTCACGAAATCTTGTAGCAATTAAATAGCTTAATTGTTAATCATCCTTTTAAGTTTCATTATCATCATCAAAACCGTAATCATGATTAAATCAACAATTTAAACTGAAAATTTCAAATGATTAAAATTGATTTCGATATTTGTTTTGAAACAAATTAACTAAAGAATGATTTGATTTAATTTAAACGTTAATTGTTTATCATTAACGTTGATTTAAGGTTTTTCAATTTATTAATTGTTTTGGTTGTTTTTGATTGCAATTGAACAGGTCTATCAAAATCCTTGGCTTTTTTGGTTATTTATATTAATAATTAAGGTTAATTCATATTGTTGGTTTGATTAAATATCATATTTTACATGGACAGTTTTATCTAACAATTAATTGATCAAATTAATCTTTTTTTTAATTATTCATTATTGGGTTTTTGGGTTAACCAGGTTAATACCGAAAGGGTTAACACCTCTGAGATTGTCCACCTAAATAATAGTCTCGAGTGGACATCACACTTATTGCAAGACAGGTAAGGTGATTAATTAATGCCCAATGATGTTGCATTTAACTTTAGGTTACAATTAACTTAAAGTTATTCATAATTAAGTCTCTGATCATTGGTTGGTGGATAAAGACATTGAAAACATGGCAACAATTAAGAGACACAGAAAAATAATAGTAAGTCAAGTGTGATGTCCACCCAAAGGTAAACGGTAATGTCCATTTGGAGGATAAGGTTTGGTAACGATTGAATAGATTGAACCAGAGAGAGGAAGAGAGAGGAAGGTTAGATAAGGTCAGAGGTGACTCCCAGTATTAATGATAATGATTAACCAAAAATCCCATGTCCAAAAAAATGAATAAACAATTAAAAGCAGACACAAAAACTAACACAGATCAAGATACAAACACATGGACACACAACAAGTAAATGCAATCATTTGATGTTTATCATTATTTTTAACTAACTAAATTGTCAATAATTTGTAAACAATCAACTCAATTTTGATGTTGTTGTTGTTGTTGTTTCAATGGATGGTGATGTTGTGGGTGGTTTGTGTGTGTGTGTTTGTTGCTCAATAAATAAAAATGATTGTTTGATGTTAAGATTTTACTAAATCAACTTGAATATAGTTTGTTTTTTATATCATCAGGATAGTTGAACAAATCTTGGCTCCTTTTTAATCGTTGATTGTTTAAAGTCACGAATCAGGATAAACCACTAATATAAATCATTTTTAGATGATTGCAACTGATTGCTTGTTGTCTAAGTATCTTTGATAATGTGTGTGTGTGTGTTGTTGTTGTTGATGATGTTGTTGTGTTGAATTGTGTCTGTCAATGTTGTTTATGTGTGTGTGTATGTTTATCTTGTTATGAGTTTATCGAAGAGAGAATTGAAAGAAACCGATCAGTGAAGGTTTTGTTGACAACGATAATTAACTAGGTTAATCTAGGAAATAGCCAGCAATTAGAGGTTTCTTTGTCTCCTCATCTTATATTGATTTACCCAAGAGAAAGAGAAAGAAAAAAGGGAGAGAGGTAGGGAGAGAGAGAGAGAAACAGATAGAGGAAAAAAGAAAAGGACTTTAAGGTGTAGGTGGTTTTTTATCTTGACGATGATGAAGATGAAGATGACGATTATGATGATGTTTAAGATGATGAAGATATAGAAGAAGAAGAAGATGATGATGATGAAGATGATTGTGGTGATGCGGATGTCAACTGATGATGAAAGTGATGATCAAAAACTGAACCAGTAATTTTGTAAGAGATGGTCTGTGATCCATATAATTTACATTTATTTGATTTTATCTTTAAAATTTTATCCATAATAATCCACAAGACATCCTTCAGATGTTTTAATCTCTCTTTCTCTCTCTCTTGATAAAACCATCTTAAGAGAGACTTACAGGTTCACAATGATGCTCTCTTTTCTTTTTATATAACATCTCATCCAGACAGAACGTTAATCCATCAATTATTATTAATTTCACAGGTTCTACCAATGTACATTTGGAACTAAACGTAACGTGTACAATAATAGAAATTATCGTAACATCTTGGCCGAAAATCGGAGCGTCTCCTCCATGTACCATAGAAAATGATAAAACCTCTTCGTTAACTTTTCTTTGAAAATGGTTCAGTTCCGTTTCCGTTTCTTTTTGTAATTATTTTTTTTTTGTCTTCGTGTCCTTTTGTTTTGTACACTACACTGTTTAACGCACAATTTTTCGGGTCACCATGTTAATTTAAAACATACAACAATTTCAATTAATTGTCCAATTAGCTTTTAGTTTGTTTAACATATCTAACCACGTAATAACTTATATTCATCATCCACATGAATATGAATGCTGGTTGTCAGTTGATTTTCTCATTTTCAGTGTTGCCTTTTTACAAATCAATAATATTGATGATTTCTTTTTGATTGATTCAATGGTGTTATGGTGGTTTGGTGTTTGGTGTTTGGTGGTGGTGGTGGTGAAATTTGATTTGATGATGTTGTTGGTCTTCTCAAAATTCTGCGAATTCTTTTGCACATTTTTCTGTACTGGATATGCGAAGGGTTTCCTCTTCATAGTCATCGAAATTACTTGTATCTCCAGCTCCTTTGCACTTGGGCAAAAATGGTGCTTCAACCTTCATTGAGGAATATAAAGAGTTGATTGTGAATGAAGAGAAGAAGAAAAAAAGTAGGATAAGAAAGAGAAATAAGGAAAGAAAATAAATTAATCAATGTGTGTATACATGTATGTGTGTGTGTGTGTGTGTGTGTGATTTGGATTATAACAGAGAAATGATTAAATTGATTTAAGAATCGAAAAGGAAACAAAAAGGTTGATTTGATGATGATGCGTGTTCATGGAACAGAGATTGTGAAAGTCACTAAGTGATTAGATTATGAGAGCGGCATAGAAAAGGATCATGATGAAATGGAAATATAAAGATTTGGGTTACAGTGGAAAAGGTAAATTATATGAATATCAAGTATTTGGTTGATTGAATTTACCTTTTTCTGATAAACGGCAATCCAGTCTGTAGATGCAAACCACCGGTGATTTTTAATGTCGTTAACACCATTCTTCAAGTTACCATATCTTTTGGTCAAATCTACTTGAAGTAAATTACGAAGAAGCTCCTTCAGTTCAGAGCTGAAATGTGATGGAAAGCGTACCTTCCCGGAGACTATTTTCTCATATATTTGAATAGGTTGGTCGGCAAAAAATGGTGGATAACCAGCAGCCATTTCATATATAAGAACACCAAGAGCCCACCAATCGACTGCTTTATTATAACCTTTGCTCAAAATTATTTCGGGTGCCAGGTATTCAGGAGTTCCACATAGAGTCCATGTGCGACCCTTGACTCTTTTTGCAAAACCAAAATCAGTCACCTTTATGTAGCCCATTTGGTCTATAAGCAAATTTTCTGGCTTCAAATCTCTGTAAATTAGATCTAATGAATGCAAATATTCAAAAGCTAAAACAATTTGTGCCGCATAGAAACGAGCCGCTTGTTCACTAAATCTCCCACTTTTACGAAGATGTGAAAACATCTCACCACCAGGAACATATTCCAGGACCATATATAAATAAGAATTATCTTTAAAATGAGCTTCCAACTTCACCAGAAACGGGAAATCAACAGCTTGTAAAATTCTTTTCTCATTGAGGGTGTGTTCGACTTGCTTCAATTTGACTACCTGTTAACGGAATCCATCCAGAAAAAAAAGAGGTTTCAATGGCGGTGCCGCGGAGCAGGAGAAGAGGGAGAAAGGAAAAAAGAGAAAGAAATGAATGGGGAGAGGGGAGAAGAAGAAAAAAATGAGTAAAGTAAGGCACAAAGTAAGAGAAGGAGAGATAGATGCACAGGAGAGAATGAGAGAAACATAAGAGATAGAAAAAGAAGGAGAGAGACACAGGAGAGAGAGAGAACATAGAAAAGAGGAGGAAGAAGAAGAAACAAATGCATGTATACTCACTTTTTGCTTGTCTAAAATTTTCATGGCATAGAATTCTTTGTTTACCTTCTGCTGAACAAGCATCACACGGCCGAAAGAGCCTGTTCCTAAGGTCTTGATTCTTTCGAAATCATCTAAGCTGGCAGTGTTTCTTGATGGATTATTCCATTTTCGGTCAAAATCCGCTCTCGCTTGTTCCAAGTATAACCGGACTAAAGGGAGAATATAACAGGACGAATCAAGGGAAAGAGAGAAAAGGAGATAGGGAGACAGAGAAAGGAAACAGAAGACAGAGGAAAAGAGGCACAAGAAACCGAATAGTTAAAAGGAGAGAGAGAGAGGGACAAGGAGGAAGACAGGAAGACACAGAGAGACAGAGAAACAACAGGAGAGGAAAAAAAAGAGAGATGAAGTGGATAAAAAAACATAACAAGATACAAGGTTAATATATTTATAAATATACATATGTTTAGATCATCATCACTATCTAATAAAACTTGTTCACTTGTTTACCTTCCTCAGCGGGATCATTTTTACCCTTGGGTGTGTTACCCATCCTTCGATTTGAATTAATTAATTAAAATAAAAAAAAACAAAATTTAAAGGTTAACTGATTTTTACTCTTATTTTTCCTTTTCTCTGTTTTGATTTTCACTGATGAGCCTTTTCGATTTTTCTATCAATCGATTTCGATCCATCGTAGATCAAAATATCGATTCTCTGTTCGATTAATCGAAATTTCGAAAATTTGTTCGATTTCTTATTAATGATTACTAATCATTAATGATGCGAATCTTAATTTTCTTTGATATTCCAAAGTTAATCATGTTTAATATTAACTTATCACAAGAACAATTAATAACTTAATCTACTCAGGGATTTGTTTTTTCAGAGAATAAATCAAAGTATCAAAATTAGAACATGAGAATTATCATCGGTGAGAAGAGGAAAAAAAGATCGATAATAAAATTGATGCAACGAAATGAGAGAAGAAAATTTTCATCGAATATACAATTAAATGTAATTGCTTTTAATTAGTTGAAAGAGTAAGAGAATTTAACAAGTTCGAACGAGTAGAAAAGAGAAGAAGAAAAAAGTTCTAACTGGTTCTCTCAATAAATGAGAACTTTTGACAGGATAATTAAAGCGAATTCTTTAATTTAGTGATTAACTGATTGTTCGATTTAATTGCAACTTTTTCTCTCTTCTTTTTTTAAAGTATTTGAAGTTTAAGTTTCAATTCGATTAATTGTGATTCAGGAAAGTTCGATGGCAAGTGAACGATTATTTCTCCCTGAGACTTATGAGTAACTCAGAGAGTAATAAGAAACCTTCAGCTCAGGCTCAGAACTGAATGAAGGATGAAATTTTCACCATGAAATGTAGGTTACTACACCTATTGCTAGGAATTAGCAGATTCCAATTTGGTGATTTTTTCAAATTGCAATCGAATTTTTTTCTTCTCCTTCGAATCAATTAATTTGTCCTAATTAAATGTTTTTCTCATCAACATCAATCATCAACACATTCACCTTACTGATTAGAATCCATTCAATTTGATTGCTAACTTGAAATTAAACTAATTATGGAAAATTTTGTCCAAATTAAATCAAAGATAATTGAATAATATTTTCCTTTACGTTGTAAGTTAATCACAATTAAAGATCAGATTACAACCGATTGTGTATTTGATTGAAAGGTGAAGAGAAATTAAAAAGTAAAAGCAAATTAAATTTACCATTGCAAGTAAATATCTTAATTGTTAAAACTAATGAGAGAGTTACTATTAAACCAATTGTTAATTATTACTGGAAATCGATAATATGGTTAATTGCAATCAACTTAATCACTGGGCAATTAAACAAAATGATTAAAAGCAGCAACAGAAAAGCAATTTGATTAAATGGTAACAATCAAAAAAGGTAAATCTCAGATTTGCAAGAATAATATGAAAGTAATTAAGCTTTTTGAGTAACAAGGGTTACAGATTATTCATCATCATCATCATGTTAATATGATGATGATGAGGTGATGGAGAGAAAGTGAGAAATAAGCTCAGATTCATGATGGAACTGAGTAAATATAGATTTTTTTTCAGGCTAAAAACTGAATGTGTTATGAATCTAAATTTAGTAACATCAAGAGACAGATGAAAGTTTTAAATTATTACCATTGATTGTAATTGTTATCATTTAGCTTGATTATTTAATGATCATTTCTGTTTCCTACCATGATGATAATAAATTGTCAGGTTATCATGAGGTAAACCAAATTCATTCACCAAACATCATGAACTTTTACATGGTGACAACGAAACTTTTCCAGGGAATTATTTTATTATTTCATTCATCTCTGTCTCTCTCTCACCTGATGATGATAATTATCATGATTGTCATCCATTCATCAGTCGAGTAATCAGATTGTCCCATTTTAAACAATCAAGTTAATTTGATTCTAATATTCAATCTTGCAACAATCATCATGTTGAACTGAATTAAAAAAAAATACTGCTGAAAGTGATGATAATCAATTTTTGCTTAATTTTTTTTTGTTTCATCTCCAATCAATTCAATGATTTCAATTAAATCAACTTGATTATTGTTGATTAATTGCTAATTGTTGTAACAAATCTTACCCTAAATAATTATAACAGTAAAAGGAAGCTGATTGTAAAACATTTAATCACCATCATCCTCATCATGGTTAACTCAACAATCAAAAATGATTCCGAGGTGATTACTAAATTAGATTAAGGTAAATCTCTCATTAAATGATCACAATTAACATGATTACATAATAATATCGTTGATGGTTGGAAATGACATTAAAATAAAAGGTAAATAAATGTAAAAAAATCAAGGTTTTGATCAAAAAGGCAAGTAAATTAAACTAATTGTAGCTAATTGATTGTGATTAAATAGCATTACAGTGAATAAAATCAATTAATCAAGCCAAGCATTAACCTTGGAGAGCTTAATTGTTTAATTTTCATAGTTAATTAAATTGAAATGCTATTTTTTGATACAATTTTTATTTTTAATCACGTTATTGGTTTGAGAATTGATAATCAAATCAATCAAATGTATTTACGTTAATCATTTGAAAAAGATTAATGATTTTAAATTTGATTGTAACTATGAAAACGTGAAAACAAAAAGCAGAGACAAGAAACCAAAATAAATTAAACCTCATTGATTGTAAACAATTAAATTAAATTGATTTAAATTAAGGTAAAACCTTGAGGGTGGTAAATGTTTGCTATATCCTTTTGCTTAATATACAATTAAGAATTGCCATCTAAAGATAACAAGGAAAGATAGAAATTAGTTAATTGTGATCAAGTAAAAAACAAACAAAAATCCGAGTGTTTTAATAATTATAATCAGATGATGATTATAATCAATTATTATTAATAATAAACCAAAAAACAACCAATACGATTAAATTGTAACAATTATGATCATACAACGAACACACAAATTAAGTGATTAACTTTTTTTTTTGCTTTGAGTACATTCAAGTTGCTTGTCAATTGATTTGCAATTGTAACAATTAACAAATGAAAAAAAATAGCAAAACAAAAAATGAGATCACAATTTGCAAATCTGTTAATCAATCAAAGCACAATCAACATCCGTGAGAGTTAATTGTCTTCCTCTAAATGCTAAAGGAGAAATAAAAAGAAAATCAAATCAAAACAAATCGTAATCATCTTAATTGCTATCGAATGTTAGAAAGTCAATGGTAATAATAATAATAGAACAACAATCAAGTTAAATGTCAACAATTATTTTGTCCGCAGAATCAAAACTAAATCATCATCATGATGATTATGAAAACGGAGATGATGATGATGATTTACAGAGGGCGTTGGTGATAATTAAAAGCAATTAATCACAATTAACTCACCATATTGAGTAGTTCCCGTGGCTCCATGTAAAGGTGCTAAGTCGGTGGATTCGTTGAAATTATTGTCCATTGGCGAAGTGGTCGACGATTCGGACAAATTGCGAACTGGACCAGAAAGAACAACTTATCATAATTATCACCATGATAATAATTATGATAACAATTAACCGAAGGTGATGATGTATCATGATAATCACGAGAATGAGAACGAACAAGTTGATGATGATAATCCATTGGAATAGTTGATTTAATAATCAATTAAGTAAAAGAGGTAATCGAGTATATAAATTAGAAAAGAAGAAGAAGAAGAAGAAGAAGAGAAAATGCTGTGATTAGAATAAACAAAAAAGAGAGAGAAAAAAGAAAGAAAAAAAAGGAAGATAGAGAAACAAATTCGCTAAATTGTGAACAATTAAAGTAAATTAAATTAAATTAAATCAACGTACCATCGCTGTTCTTGTCTTTCTTTTTACTTATACGAAATAGACTTTTAAACGGCATCTTGTCGATAACATATAATGTGTGAGAGGATGATTAGAGTGACACACTCAATCTTCACTCTCTCTCTCTCTCTCTCTTACTATTTCCCTTCATCTCCCATTCTCTCCCTCTATGGTGTGTGTGTGTTTCTGTGTTGTGTGTTTTTCATCTCTCTCACTCTTACTCACTAATTCTCTCTCTCTCTCTCTCGAACTCACCGACTCTCTCTCTCCCTCTTCTGTCTAAGGCCACCAGGTAAACCAGGGAGGTGGAAGAGGAGGAGGAAGAGATTAAAGTGGGAGGGAAGGTTGATGTAGTTACGAAGGGGAATCACTAACAGGTATCAATGGTGAATATGATTTGTATGATGATGATGATGATGATGATGGAAGATGAGGGATGATGGGGAAAGAGAAAAGAAAAAAATTATTAAAAATTATGATGAAAAACTCGTTTTTCTTTATACTTTCATTTTTCATCTTCTTCTATTCTTATGATTGTTGAAACAATTGAACAATTTGAATAACATGTTTAATTGCAATTCCAATTGATTGAATGTATATTGACAGGTTTCCCTGGGAGATAATGTAATTTTCTTGCTTCTTTCTGGTTAACTACAGAATTACAATTGAATAACAATTTATAAATACAATTGTAATCATTTAACAACAATTACAACTTAACAATCAATCAAACAACAAACAACAACAATATCGTTAACAGATTGTAATTAAAAAACAGGTAAGTCAAATAATATTTGCAGGTAAATATGAAATATCAGAAATAAAGATGCAACAATTTATGAGAAACAGAAATTAAGTTAATTGTTAGTTAATTGTGTCGATATGATTGATCCTCGTTCTCAGTGAAAAACTAATTCTTTACACAATTATCATCTTACCTTAATTGTTTAATATTTAATCACATCAGTGTAACTTGAGACAAATTGTTTATCCATTAGACTTTACAATTAAGTAATTAAACTGTTTTAACCATAACCTGTGTGATTTTAATCAATCATCATTAATTGATTGCCGATCACAATTATTGATTGTTGTGTATTACAATCGTTTATTTTTTTTTGCACAATCAATTTATCTGTTAATTGTTGGACAAATTCAATAGTTTACTCGTAATTGTATTGATCGTAACAATTGGAACCGATTAATTGATAATTTTCATCAAAGAATTAAAAAAAAATTAAAGACTTAAACATGATTATAGCTTTTAATTGGTTTTCTTTTGGTTAACAATTTAAAAGTAAAGTTTCTGACAGAAGCAATTAGTTAATTTAGTTTTTACTTAGAGAAAATTGATTGAGAAAAAAGTAACAAATAAAATTTAAATTGTTTCTTTTTAATTGTGATGATTATTCGTATCATAATTGTAAATCATTTTTAAGCCACAACTTTGATATTAATATTGTATAAACTTAACAGATACTCAATCCATTGTTATTATCATTAAATCTCATCCTAATCTCCAATATTCCTCCTAATCTCCTTGTCTATTTTCATCCTCATTCTCATCCTCATCCCAAGCATCATCTTCACCTAGATCATAGTAATTACAATCACATAGGAAACATTCAGCTTCCACTGTTGTTCATTCATCTGTCAAACAAAAATAAAGAAACAAATTGTTATCTAAAAAATCTGATCATCATTGAACAAATTGTTACTTATTATAATAAATTGTTGTTCATTTTGTGATTAGTATCAACAGTTAAGAGACAAAGAATCAAATCCTTGTGATTGTTTGAAATCGTGTTTTCTATTCCTTTGCTTTGCTTTACAATCAATTGTTCAATTGTGCTCGAATCTCTTTATGTAGATGACACAAGAAATCTACATAACTGAGGGAATCATGACCCATGCTACCATGAAAATAGAGAGAGAGAGAGAGAGAAGAAAAATTAAAATTAATATACAATTATCATTTCATGTTATTATCATTCAGAGTACAAGGTGGACCAGATCAATGTGAATGTTTTGCAATAAGGTAAACATAAAATAAAAATGAGATCGCATGTTAATCATTGAGCTAATACGTTACAATCAGCAATCAATTGATTCACCTTGTATTCACATCATATGCATACCTATCGGCAACCTTTTTGTCCTCGTAAAGGAAACTCTTGAAGACAATTTCAATCTTATCCAAACCTTGGCGGATAATATTTAACTGTGGATTAAACAAAGAGAAAGATTAAAATTAGTTAATAATTACAATTCGTTAAGACGTAGTAATAGAAAAAAGATTAGGTCAAATCACGGTAAGTAATAGCAAAGTTATTTTCTAAACCGTAAGCCCAATTAGAATTGACGTCAGGCAATGACAATCTGAATTTACTACAACAAGGAAATAGTATAAAGATGAGAAAGAAGAGAGAGAGAGAGAGAGAGAGAGAGAGAGAGAGAGAGAGAGAGAGAGAGAGAGAGAGATATGATGATGATCAAGACAATATTGATGAAAGAAGCAAAAAATTCTGAAAGTTTACCAACAACAACCAAAGCCAATAAGTTGAATACATGTAGATGATGATTATGATTATTATTCAAGTATTGGGAGTAACTTTTGTTTTTACAATTTAGTAATATTAACAATCAAGATGAAACCCAAAGCTAATTGAACTACAGGGCTGGTTAAATTATTTAACAGAGTGTATCTTAAATTAGCTTTCTCTTGACAAGAAAATATATAATAACAAAACAGTAATAATAATGTAAGTATTTAGAGGAAGAGAGGAAACTAAATTAATATTAATCATAAATAATTGTTCAATTTAATTCAAAATCAAGTCTCAGTCACTATTTTTTTAAATATGAGCAATGAAATTTCATTGTAAACAAATAAACACACAATTTTCCTTCATCATCACACAACCATAATCATTATCATAATCATCTTGATCGTCAATCTTATTATATGATATTTTCAATTCTGTCCTTCCTTTTAACTGTCTTTTAAGTCTCCTTCATTATCATCTCCTTCTTCTCATCCTCCTTTTTCTTATAATATTATCATCTCTCACTCTCTCAAGTAAATATTATGATCTTATATTTAATTATCATAATCAATTCACCAATAATAAAGATAAGATAATAAAAAATTACCTTGATTGCTCTTCGTCGTCTTTTACTCATATTCTCAATTAATGTTCTGATAAATTGAGATTCCATTGTCATTAGATTAGGTAAATCCTGGAGAGAGAAAAAAAATAAACAAAACGGAAAAGGAAAATGAAAATGAAAATAAGTTCAGTAAACAAAAGTAAATTGTTGTAATTGTGAATAGAATTAAATCTCGCAACTAACCTGTTCAATTGGAACTTGTTGTAATGATTCGACACCAAAAAGATTCCACAAAAATGTTTGGGTCTTTGAATTGGGCAAAGAGCTTGGAAGATATAAGAAATAATGGAAACCAGTTTCCAATAGATAAGCCATCGCTTCGTTGTTATCCAATCGAGCGGCCGTACATCGAACTTGAACCGCTCGAAGACCAGTATCGTAATTGGGATCATACTGTTAACCAAGGTTTCCAATGATGGATCAGAAGTTTAGGATGAAAAGAGAGAGAGAGAGAGAAAATAAGTGAATAATTAATATAAGTAGAAAATGATAAGTTAATTAACTAATCAATTTTCATGGTTAAGATTGATAAATGTGAATATATTAATACCTCTATACTTAAAACTTTTGGATATAAAATGACTTGAGTCAAATCAATGGAGGCACCTAGTGAATGGAAAAAGAAATTGATCAATTAATTAGACGGCATTTGTTTAACTTAGTTGATGATTCAGTTCATCAATTAACACATGTAATCAAAAAGCTACGACACCAATTCAGGTTGAATTTTATGAGGAAAATAGCACAATCAACAGAAACTGTTGATGAGACATGTTAACATAGTCAGAAATTGAAACAATCAGCCAATTGTTTGATTCAGTCGCTTAATTTTGTGTGTCTCTCAACATATTACGGTTGAATCGAGTGCTAATACCCATTCAAGGACGAATAGAATTTCTTTTTCTTCATCAATAATCGGTAATTGAATGTTGATTATTTTTGTTTCTTCCAAATTTATGCTGTCAAACTTGATTTGATTGTAGTGATGTTTAAATATCTTTCACTTGGTTTTGGTGTTTTCTCGAAAAACACAAAAGCTTCAATTCAAGGCTGATAATCATTATCATCATCATAACAATAATGATCATCACTAATCATCATCAGCATAAAAATAAAGGTTAAATCTATTCAAAAACGTTACATTACAAGAAAATCCTAGTCACTCAAATTAATTTCATCTGAATGAATGTGCATGAATCAGTGGAAGCTAATTAAACATTTTCTCTCTCTTTCTCTCGTTTACACGAAGATGAGTAAATAGTTGTTGGTGTGTATGAACGGATGGTTGAGATGAATGCATGAGAATCAGTTCAGGTTCAAAGTACCTAGAGTAACAATTTGAGCGTAAGCTTTTTCATCCGGGGTTAGTCCAGGTCCACCATCGATGGCATCACATTTAAGAGCTCCTGTTGTATAAATTGGCAGTAATTTCAGTGCTTCAGGTAAAATGAGTTGACCTAGAAAGAGAAAACAAGTGAAAACAAAGATTAATTATCAAGTGAATTACAATAAAAAGAAAAACGAAAGAAAGAAAGAAAAAAACAGAAAAGGATAAGGATAAAGATAGAATTAGAAATCAAGATGAAAATAAACATAAAGCACAAAATGAGACGAGAAGGTAAGATGACATTGGTGTTTATCATCAAGGACAATTAATGAAACGGAAAAAGCAACTTGTCAATAAATCAAACATATCAACAACATAACATTGATAAAAAAAGAACAAGTTAATTGTAATAATAAACACGCACCTAAAGGTGACCCAGGGGAAGCACAATGTTTACGATAAGAGCTCAAAATGGCGACACATCGAGAAATTAGAAAATCTTTAATTTGTTGCGGATTTTTGGTTCCACTCTTTAATTGTGATACACCTAAAGATACATAAAGAAAAGAAATTGTTAATAAAGAACAATAATGATAATAGTTGATCAATCTACTCACTACTTCGTAGAAATAGATTCATTATAGTGTCACAACAGCAACTTTTGTAAACAGCAGCAGCTTCATCACACACACTGAAAGCCGCATTATGGACACGTATGCGTCTTTCACCGCTAATTGAAGTGTACAGGGTGGCAGTCTGTTGGAAAAGAGAAAGCAAATTAGTGTTAGTGTTAATTCATTTGATGATTAACTATATGGGGAAACTCACTTGTATGATAACAAATTCATCATCAGGAAGTTTATCATCGTAACGAAACTCAACAACAATACTCGCTTCAGTGTTGACAACAGCTGATTCAATGTCCGATGAACTTCTTGAGTAAAAATTGCCAAAATATTCAAAAGGACGGACTCCGGTAGAGGTTCTCACTGTGAAAGAAAAATAAATTAGAGAATTGCAATTATCATGGAGTTAAGGGAATTCGTGTAGAATTTGCTTACCTTTCATAACAGTATCAAAAGCATAACTAGATTTTAAAGAATATTTCAAATCGGTAACAAATCTTTCGGAAAAGTCATTATAATATTTATATATTCCACCACTTCCAGTAAGACGAACCAGTTCACTAATTGTTGCTAAATCAAGGTAAGGTCCTAGAGTGGAAAGTAAAGGAAAATGAATGAAAAAGTAAATACAATTCTCATTGAACAATCGACAATTTAAAGTGATGATTTACCATTAACTGGAGGAAAGAGGAAAAGCTCAACACCACTACCATATTCTGTAACACAACGAGCCGAAAAGTTGGTATAATGTTTACTTGGTTCGGGGGTGAGAATATTTTTCTCTTTATCGGTTCCTAATAATTTTCGAGCATCATCTTGATTTGATGGATTCCAACGGATCTTCAATCTACCAGGAGTTTCATTGTCTCTCCCGTAGGTTGGAAGTGTACAGTGGAAAAGGTAAACTTTACCCGATGGAATTACTTTCGTGGAATCAAATTGTTGACCAGTGTTACCACTTTCAGGGTCGAGATACCAATTGTTTTTATCAACTTGACACGATTGAAGTGCAGCCTCAATAACGGGTCCTAAAATTGTCTCAGTTTCAAGATCATTGTCATTGTAGAGGGAAGGCAATGATTGTAGAAATCTGTTAATTTAATTTGAGAAGAACGAGGATAACAAAAAATGAAAGAATTAAATTAGACTTAGATTTTCAACCAATTTAACTTTAATTACCTTTCAATCTGGTCTGCATGGGTAACTGGATCAACCAGGAAGGTTGTTGAAGGTGAAAATGTTTCAGCAACATCACTGACTATTCGTACTTGATTGTTATTAATTATATCATATACTTGGATCTTTGAATTGTAAGTGACAAAACCAACTAATGGTGGTGGTGATCCAGGATTTTGAATATCGCTGTAAATTTGAGATGATTAAATGTTAATTAAATGATGCAACAACAGAGCATGTTTTAAATAGCTTTTAAGCTTACGTGGGTAAATGATTCCTGATAACATCAGGTAAATGTTTTGATAGTTGATGAATCAATAATTTTGAGTTAACAGTTAACTCAAAGGCAAATACAATATGTGGACGTCTACAATTTAAAATACCTGAAACAAAATAATGACAATTAGTAAATCATTTTAGAGAGAAAACATTTCCGATCAATAGAATTGAACAAACCATTTCGACAATATTCAGCAGTCCCTCTAAACTCGTAACTACCAAGATTTAATTCTGGTCTTTCGATGACATCCAATCGGACACCTAGAAGATGAAATTATTTAAACGATAATGTGATTAACATGTAACTCTCTCTCAAATTATCGGTAATTACCATTATGATCAAGGTGAGCGAAATAATTATTTGGTACTTCACTGATGTGGCGACAAAGAGCACACTGGAAACGCCGACCGCCATCAACAAAGCGCATAAATGGGCTCATATAAGCTTTGCATCGGTTGCATCTAACAATCTCCGATTCGGAGACTGGAACGTTGATTGTGTCATCAACCTCTTCTTCGGCAAATGGAGTGACCACAATTCCGAAAGGTACACCAGTTGTTTTGAGAAGATCTTCAGTATTTGGAATTGAGTAAAGAGTTGATCGTAAATGATTGGGACGAGCACAACCACCATCTTGAACAGCAACTTTAACTTCAGGATCTTTCAAAGTGGTAACCAAAGGTGGAACAGATAAAGGCCTTGTTGAAATGATATTTTCCTCTGCTAATTTAGAAATGTCTTCTCGAATCACATCGGTGACACTTGGCATAAGATTTGGATCCAATTCACGACTTTGGGGTGGCTGTGAGGGAGGAGGCTGATGGTAGTGATGATGTTGCTGAGGTGGTTGATTGTAATGAAGTTGCGGTGCCTGAGGGGGAGAAGGTTGTTGTTGCTGCTGTTGTTGTTGCAGGTATTGTTGTTGCTGTGGAGCCTGTTGGTGATACTGTTGCTGATATTGATGCTGTTGTGGAATCGCTTGTGGAATCGGTTGATGATACTGTTGTTGATATTGATGTTGCTGTTGTTGTTGTTGTTGATGTTGATGATGTTGCTGTGGCTGTGGCTGAAGCTGTGGCTGTGGAATCTGTTGAAGATACTGTTGCTGGGGCTGTTGTTGTTGCTGTTGCATTAAATAACGATTATCGTCAGAAATCGAGGACATTTTTCGAGAATAAACAAAACCGAATTCAATTCAAAAAAAGGAAAAGGAAATAAGATAGAAACCAAAAAGTAATAACTCTTACTCTTTGAAAAAATGTTTCTTTTCCTACGTAGGCCTAAATCCTGACCGAATCTTTAAAAAACTCTCTTTTCTATTTCGCCACCAGATGTCACCGCTTCAAATTCTATTTCAATCCATTTGGAAGCGAAAATTAGACACAAGAGTCGCCACTTCTGTTTTCTCTTTATTTTCTCTTTTTTAATTCGAAGCTACTGAAGTTCGATTGATGTTTTTTTTCGATAATTTTTACTTTGCATTTGCAGCCTTACCCATTTATAAGAACTGACCTGATTGATTATGATTAGATCGACAATAGAATCTTGGAACAGCTTCTTCGTTGCCAAGGAAACACCGGTGGAGCCGCGGTTCATTCAGAAAGAGTAAAAGACGATTTCGAAGTGATGATATCGAGAAAATAATGATAACGAATTTCAGATACATGGGAATGAAAAGATAATTCCATTTTCAGTGAATAAGATTTTCCACTAAGAAATGTTCACTAATTAGAAGGAGAAAGTTTGAACATTGAAATCTCGATAACAGAATTGATAATTGAACAATTTAAAGTTTTTCGTATTCATATTTGACTGACAATACAGTAGATCTTCATAGTCCACTAAGTATCTTATCGTTTTGTTCAGAAATGGACACTCGAAGTGAGAGCCACCAAAATTTAATTTTCTGCTTAATTCTAAAGGTTAAATGATTAAAATTGACCTTTTTCTAACCAGTTCTTGAACTTTTTTTGAACAAAATGATTCTATTATCCGTAGATGATCATATAACAGATCACTAGTCATGATCTGATCAGAATTTAATTAATATCTTGAGACAGATCAATTAATTTAAGCTTTTCTAAAACTCGTTAGGTCCAGATTCTTCGGCACTACGATAGTTCAAACTATTTTCTTCTAATTAGTGAACAGTTCTCATAAATTGGCTCTTTAGAGTTGCCTTTTTTTTCATCAAGATCGATTAATATATCAACTTGTATGAACATAAGAGTTGATACATTTGATTGTATCTGTTTCTTATTTCAATTTGTTCATTCAGCAAATCGACGCATCAAAATCCTCAAATAACTTCATTCAGATATTTAATCATTTCTCTCAAATGTTCATCCTGAAAGCGTAACATTGAGAAAGAATGAAAAAAAGGGAAGGAAAAAGACAGAATTTCGAAGGAGAGAGAAAAAAGTTCTCTCTGATTGGATAGAATCTGAACTTTACGTCATCTCGAATATAACCAATCATATCGAGTTCTAGTTCTTCCAAACTCCACCCAAATAGATGAAACTTCTTGAACAAACACTGTGAGAATAAAAGATAACCGGAAGTGAGGGTTATCAGTTGAAAAGAAATCATAACAACAAAATATGAAAAAGAAATCAGATCATCATCAAGTTTCATCTCTTCCCCTCAAAGGAACAATTAACTCCAAGTTTCATCAAACAAGAAAAAAGTAATAATGATAATATTGGAAAAGAAAACACGAAAAGGATAAAGTGAATTCCCAATAAATCCGGAAGTGGGTGTTCGCTAAAAGAAGGCGGAAACTTTTTCCTCGAACGGAACGAAGTAAACGAAACCCACCCCACCCTTCCTCTTTCTCTCTCTCTCTCTCTTCTCACCCCTTTGGATAATATCAACTTTCCACCTTCACTCCGAATTCACTGTAACTCAAACACTTCACCATGTTAACTATTATCACCTAAAAAACTGTTACACAAATTAGATTATATTTAATTGTTGATTCTTAATTGTTACTCTAACTAAATTGTTGTTTATTTCAACCTGTTATTACCTGATAAGATTAAGATTGTTTATCTTTTGCCTGACAAACAAAATACCTGCCATTTAATTGTTGTTAAAATAAAGAAAATCATTTATCATTAGCTAATTGTCAATCAGTGATTACAATTGTTTCCCTTTCCAAAGTGATTCAATTTTCATCTCTTCCTCTCTCCGTTGATTGTTGATTATTTAATTTAATTGCTGTGTGTTGGTGGTTAACCTTAATCACCTTGTCTCTCCTGAGTGTTTATTATTAGTTTGGTAACTAAATATTTATTCATCAAATTGTGTCCAGTTGATTAACTTTAATTTAGTTATTCGTTTGTGACTTGATTCAAATTTTCTCGTGTAATTAAATCAATCAGATTATCAACAATTAACTTAATCACAATGAACGAAACAAAGGAAACCATTTCAAACAATAAGGAAACAACTGATATCAAAGATATTGGTAACCTTTTATTTTCAGGTAAGTGATTAACTAAAACAATTTACAAGGTTAATTGGATTAGCAAATTAATTTTTCTAATCCTATTAAATTTATCTAATCATCAACTTATCATATGAAACAATTAACTAATCAAAGAAAAACAAATTGTAACCATTCAACTCTAATGATAATTTTTTCTTGTTAATCAGTTAGTCTATTGGTTAGAGTTACAATCAAGTATTGGTGAAAATTGTCGTATCAATTAAGCTAATTTCGTACAATCAGTTAAACACAAAGATGAGATAAACAATAATACAAATGATTTGTAAATGAAGCATAAAATGATCACATTGAAATCTAATGGTGATGAGTTTGATTTGACTTCCAATGGGAATTGATTGTTATCAATAACACATATCATCATCATGAATCTTCATCTTTCTTTGTGTAATATTGTTTTCATCCTTATCATCATCATCATCATCACCATTTATAACAAGATAATCAATTGAATGAGTCAAACACAATGAGATTTCACAATAAGATGTCACCACAATCAATCTGAAAGAAATAAAAAATAGTCTCCAAGGTGAAAGAGGCAAAGAAGATGATGAAGATAAGGTTGAAGAGCAAATAAGTATCTAATTAGAGGTTACATTTGACTCTTTCTCATCATCATCATTTTCCTCCTTTTCTCCTGCATCATCATCACCAACATCCTCATCATCTGATCAATGATCCTTTTGATAGGGACAAAAAAGGAGATCAGCAAGATCGATGATAAAAATGAACTAATGTGACGATAAAAGCCTACAAAATGATGATCTTTTCTTCCTCATCCTCATCATCATTCACCATCCCATCTCTCTCTCTCTCTCTCTCTCTCTCTCTCTCTCTCTCTCTCTCTCTTCCTACCGTATGATTAGCATTTCACTCACTCCGCTCTTCTCATCACAATTGATTACAGTTGATACTTTCCAATGAAAGGTGATTAAGATTAAGAATTTTGAATGAAAACAAATTCCCTTCATGATTATCATGATAACAGCAGTTTGAATTTAATTAAACGTTGATTAATTATCATAATCTGTTGACCAATAATAATGAAAATATCACTTTGATAAAATATGAATTTCAATCAAAACTGTAACAATAAATCATCAGGAAAAAAGTTTAATCTAATGTCTCCAGTTACAATTGAGATTATCATTATTTGCAAATTAATTGAGCTTCAAATTACACTTAAAGTCAGAATATATCATTAGTATGTCTCATGTATTCAGTTGAATCTTTTATCATGGTGAATGGGGCATATATTTGAGAAAATAATATTCTCCCTGTTAAATCAAACACTTCCATGCTAAACTAAGGTAACAGCTTTTGCTTATGATATTTGAATTGTTCATTATCATGAAAACATTATGAGATAATTGCGTCACTTTCACAGGGAAATTGAATGTTAAGAATATGATGAGTTGACATTTACTCGGAATTTTTTGTTTTACTTTTCCTTTATTCCCTGAATAAATGTGATAACAGTCAAATTTTTCGAATGATTAATCAACCATGGAAATGAATTTTCATATGTTAGATTTGAATTGTTTTTCTTAATTAATTTTCCATTTTCTATCATCTGAACAGATCTACTTCCAGTCAATGAAAATGGATATGAAATGACCAGAGAGTTTTTAATGAAAATCGTTGATATTTTACTGGACTTTATCAAGGAGTCAAATGACCGATCAACCAAAGTGATTGATTTTCACCAACCCAATCAAATGAAACAATTGTTTGACTTCACAATTCCAGAGAATCCAAAAAATATCCAGCAAATATTAAACGATTGTAAACAATGTTTAAAGTATCAAGTGAAAACAGGTAAGTTGAACAATCAACTAATCACAATTGAATCACATTCAATTAAACTCAATCAAATTTGAATGAATTTTAACCTGACTTGATGATGGAAAATCCAACCGATTTTATCATTTCTATGAATGAAATGCTAATATGAACAAGAAGAAAAAGTCAAGTCAACATTGAGAGAAAGTTAAAGATGAGAATTCAATAATTTTCTGATGATTGTTATGAGCTGAATGTTCATGACAGGGAGAGGAACAAAAAAGGAGGAGATGAAGATGGAGAGGTAAAAATAGGAGGATAAAGTTTCGAGTCCCTTTTATAAGGATCATGTTGATCAGTCTACCATAGATGATCCTCCAAGATTGATGGTAAACCTTGCAGTTAATGTCATAGAAAATTGCAAGGAAAAACTTTCCTTATCCTCATCATTATCCTCTTTCCAAGTCACCAAACTAAAGGTATAATATTGAAATAATAGCTTGAAATTGAGAAGAATCTGAAGAAAAAAACACCGAACCAATAATTATCCAAAGAGTAATAGATTCTAATACATCTAATTGTGATTCTTAATCATTGCTTAATCTTTTCTTCATGAACATAACAATTTCGAGGATTAGTTGAATCCATCAACCTGAGAGCTGAATTTCAATGAATTAGAATTGATTGAACTAAATTCAGAATCAAAGTTAATGTTCATCTTTCATGAGTTCCAATAATAGATCATCTCTTTCATGGAGTTTTTTTCACGACAATTCATGAAAACTCTTGAAGAAAATCATTGAATCGGATTCAATATAACAGAAAAAAAGTAATCGGCTTAGATTTAATATCTATCACTGACACATCGATGACAAATATAAATATATTAAGAAGAGGGTATGACATAAAATTTAATAACAACATTGAGCCAAATGAAATCTCGAGAATTGTTATTTCAAGATGATCTTGATGAAAAGGTAATTATCAAAATATGACAATCAAAATGTTCCCATTGATTGAGTTAACTTGTTATTGTTATTGGAATAGGTTTAATATTATAACCTTCATTTACTAATCTCATAATTTCTGGGTTATTATCATCATTCTAGATGATGGTTAATCTTTAACTGGGGTAATATGATATTCAGGGGGTGAAATCAACTTATCAAAGTTCCCATTTTGTTTGAATGTGTTACCATTATTATAACATTAATATCATATAACTAGTTTATGAAAAAGCCTTCAGACTTTATATCAACATTTGTCACTTGAGTTATCACAGATTATTAATTTCTCAAAATGTTCACCAGATTTAATCATTACCATCATGATGGCGACAATTCATAATGAGATGTTCAAGTTTCATTATAAGAAGAAGATGAGAAAAAACTTTTGGATCTTGTGTGAAGTTTCAATAAGAATCGTGGAGATTTTTCATTCAGTTCGAACCAAATTCTAGATGAAAGTTAATAGAATAACTCGAAAAATTATTTCCATCATAATTCTGACTCAGAATTTGATGTTTTTTTATCTTCTATTTTTCTTCATCTCTAATCAATTGTTTCTTTATCCTCTCTCTTGTTACGAGGATTTTATCTCGAATTGAATATTATCCATTGTCCATTGATTCTTGAGTTAATCTGCTGAGATAATAGTAGATTATTATACTTGAGATGTATTCTCATGTACATGGTTATCCAATTACAGTTGACTTGTTATTCAGTTTTGACAGAAATTCCCATTGACTTAAGCAAAGAAATTTTTTCTTACTTTTTCCTCCGAAACTCTGAATCTATCACCAAGAATATACAAACTTTCCAAATAGATATTGAGACCTTGAATATCCTTCAATGTTTCTATCCTCATCTAATGGATAACATAAGGTGTATCTTCAATATCTTCCCATGGTGATGACAAAAAAAGTGAATTCTGTCTCTGCGATTTCATTTCAACACCAAATTGCCTTAGATTATCATTAGAAATCAATTTGTTCACATAAAGTTTTGAAAAATGTTTTTCATCATCAGTGATACTGAACTTTTTCAATTTCATCATGAACGCAATTCAATGATTGTTTATCAACAATATCGAGTTTAACTTATTAGCCTAAATAACATAACTTATCAAGTGATTAGCTCAATCAATTCAATGATTGTCATTGATTCTCATCCGATAAACTCACTGGGAGTGAAAAATCCTCATCGCTCTTATAAACCTTCATCTATCTTCCTCTTTTGTTGTTAACAACAAATCGCAATTGAAAGCAATCAACAAATCATTTGATCTATTTACAGATATAATCAACAAATAACGGAAGATAATCATCAGTGTCAACCCTTTATCCTACTTTACAAATAATGATGAAGATGAAGATGAATGGATTATGTTCAAGTTACCTTGGAATTGAATATGAAGCAGAATTGATTGAGAATCCAGAATCACCATGGAATCATTTCAATTCCAATGAACCAGCATAAAATTATGATATTAACAAAAAATGAGGAATCAACAACAATGTAAGAAGATAAATGCCTTTGGTAACAAAAAAGAAGGCAAAAAATTACATAGAATCACATTAATCCCTGTAAGCTGGAAAAAACTTATTCTCTTGGAAACGGAAATGTTTTTTAACTTCATCTTCATCTTCATCTTCATCCTCATCATCTTTTCCTCCTACTTTTCATCATCCTTTCATCTTCCTCCTCTTCTCAGCATCCATATTGCTCTACATTTGACCTTAAACAAAATACTTACAAACATTTCGACCATGAAATATATTCCTCTTTCCTCTCTTTCTCTGCAATCGATTATCGATTTAGCTTCTCTCTCAGTGTTTCATGTTGATAATAATACCCTGACCTATAAGAGAATCACATTCAGCTCAGATAGTAAATGTTGTTTACTTCCGTTTACAGTGAATACACACCTTGGAAAATTGATTATTTTCACCATTAACTTTAAATGGTAAAAGTCAAGAACATTTAATTTAACTGAGAATGCGTATCAATCATTTATCCGAATCATTTTGTATCATCAAAGTTTTTTTTTCTTCATACAATTAAAGGTTACACACTAATTATCAGCTAAAATTACAATTAACTCTCGTTTAATTATCTAAGAATCACCTAGATAATTGAGAAAGTAATTACAACCTCAATCAGTTGATTATCTTCCTACCGATGATGATGCTAATCTTAACACCCTCAGGCTATTGATCAACCCTTAAGCTAATCTGTTGACATAATAACATGACTTTTCATTGCACCAACTGATTAGTAAGTTAATCCATCCCCTGGAGCAAATGATTACACAATTTTCAATATCCACCAGAGATTAAATCATTTTTTAAGTTACTATTAAATTGTTGACAATAATATCTTATGGGAATTGATTGTTATCAGAATTTAATATTTATCATGAAGAGAAGTGCAAAAAAAACTCCTGAATAAGTGAGATAAAATTGATACAAATGATCAGTTGAAAAAAAGACACAAAAAATGATGGATTTACTAGTTAATCTCAAGTAGATTAACATGAAAAATTACTTAATCCTCTTAATCTCTTCTTAACCCCGAATATGCAATCAAAGAGTAAACAATGTGTACACATTGATTAACTGAAAAGAAACTTAATTCATCATCATTTGGTTATTGATATTTAATTGAATGGATTGAATTTGGACACAACAATTTACTAATTTTGATTTAATCATCAACAGGACATCCTCATTATTTCAATCAACTTTCATGTGGTTTGGATATTGTTTCAATGGCTGGTGAATGGTTAACAGCGACTGCAAATACCAACATGTAAGTTGTTGAAAATTTAATCATCTGATTAATTTGATTGTCAACAGAATTTTAAATTGTCACCAAAATTTAAACTGTCAAATCAATTGATTAGCTTCATTTCAATAATAACACGAACGCACATTTTGTATAACAAAACAAATTGAATACAACAAAGTTTAATTACAAGTGAAACAATTATTTTCTTACAATCAAATAAATTGAATAATCAATTGTGATTAACTGCTAATTGTTTTGGTTCTTAATTAAATCCAAGGTTCACTTATGAGATCGCTCCAATATTCATACTGATGGAACACTTTGTTCTGGAAAAAATGAGATCGATCATTGGTTTTCCCGATGGAGATTCAATTCTGGCTCCAGGTAAACAATTAAAACTCAATCAGCTAATCCAATCTAATTACTATTATCTTAATTATCTAAGGTGGCGCTGTATCAAATCTCTATGCTATTATTGTCGCTCGACATACAATGTTTCCCGAATACAAGACAAAAGGCCTTAAAGCTTTACCTCAATTGATTCTGTTCACCTCAGAACATGTAAGTTTGTCAACTGTACCTGAAGGACAATCAATAAGATGAATGATAGTGATGATGATTAGCTGATAATGTAATTTGATATCAATGAAAAACGAAAACAAATCATTACAATCAAATGACACTCATAAGTTAATAATGATAATCTGATTCTTTGGTAATCAGATGATTGAGATAAACATAATACTCAGATTTCAAATGAATCCAACAGGGAGATATGAAAATGGAGCATAAAATGAATAGGCAAGGTGAAAATATCTTCAAAATGGAGTCTAATTAGTGAATCTGAATCATTAGAAACAATTTACGATAATAATAATAACGGTAAATTATTGACTCAATAGTAACTATTAATGTGTAATATTGTTTGTCTGAAAATACTAATAATATTTTTTCATATCTTTTCCGATGATCAACAAATAACAATGATAATAAATTGTGATTCGGATTGAATGAAGTTCCAATGAGCCAATTTCTGAATATACTCAGGATTCAGTTTGCTTGTTAAAATGAATGAGAGACAAACAATAAATTATTTCATCCTAATCATCATGTCAACTTGAATGTCTTCCATGTGATGATGGACAGATCGTGACTAATTGACATCGTTATCATCATAATATCTTTTCCTGTGTTATTATTTCAATTCCTCTCTCTCTCTCTTCTTCTACTAATCATTATCATCATCATAATCCAACAATTTACTGATCAATCGATTAACCAATTTCTTCATCTTCTAACAATCAGAGTCACTATTCAACCAAAGGAGCAGGCGCTACATGCGGATTCGGTACTGATAATGTAATTGAAGTTCCTTGTGATAAAAAGTAAGTTTCAATTCAATGTTAATCTAAATTGTGGTTTTCTAACTGTAAATAATCATGTAAATCACTTGAAAGTGGACGAATGATTCCAGAGGAACTCGAAAGACTTGTTAAAGAATCAATTGAAAAGGGACATCGACCTTTTTTTGTCAACTGTACCTGTGGTACTACAGTTTTGGGTGCTTTTGATCCGATTAATCCGTTAGCAGATATTTGTGACAAGTATAATATGTGGTTACACATTGATGTAAGTATTATATGTCCATAATTTACCTGGGGAAAGAAAAGTTTTCAATGAAATATATTATTATCCATTTGATTGACAGGCTGCTTGGGGTGGTGGTTGTTTATTATCACGAAAACACCGACATCGATTGGGTGGAATTGAAAGAGCTCAATCAGTTACATGGAATCCACATAAACTCATGGGAACTTTACTCCAATGTTCAACCGTTCATTTTAAACGAGATGTGAGTTGAAAACACAATCACAATTAGTGACAACAATCAACAAAGTCACTAAGATTATATTGTAAAATCAACAACAACAACAAGTAGGATTATAATCCCCAAACAAAAGTTATTGTTTATCCTTCACCAATCTTATCCCGTTAATCTTGAATATTATCTCATGAGTAGATTAATTGAACCATAATAATTAATGATGATTTTGATGAATGATGAAAGTGTTAGATGAAAATTGTAGCCACTAATTTTTTCCTTTGTATTAATACTCACCCTAAATTGAACAAATTGAATGTTATTTAAGTCAATATCAGTTGCCTTTTAAATAATATGGATCAGTAAACTACCATAGACATTGGGAATCCATAGATTCTTATAGGAAATGATAATAACTAAGCATAAGCAGCTGACGCTTTTACCATAAGTCAAGTGGAAACATTAGCAGAGGGAAATCCCTTTCACCCACTCCACCATCATCATCATCTTTCCCACCTCTCACTCTCCATCCTCATCCCTCTTTCTCTCTCTCACTGTTTGCTTTGATTCCCTTTTCTTTGCCTTTTATCATCCACCCACTTTTCCAGAGGAATTCATTTCATCCCAATGTGTTGCAGATATAAAACATCATCAAAATGTCGTTCCCTTGGTTCCTCTTTTTTTATCATCATCATCATCTCTCTTTCATCATTATTATTATTTCCACGAGAGAGAAAAATTTCTTTCTTTTCATCCTCTTTCCATCTTCTTCATCCTCCGCCTTCTTATCATCATCATCCTCATCTTTCTTTCTCTCTCTCTAATATCTTATTATCTTGATATTACAGTTACTATTTTTTTCTTGCTTCATGTAATATTTTTCATCCTTACTCATCATCATCATCATCATCAGCTGATGTTGATTACTTTTTCGTATTATTATTGATTAATTGTAGCAATTTGTTGTTGCCTTTTCCATTACCTTTAAATCTGTTTGGTTGATATTTTGTTTTAAATCTAATTGTGATTCTTAATCTATGGATTATCACAGAAATTGTTAATTGATTGTAATCAAATGTGTGCCGATTACTTATTCCAACAAGATAAACACTATGATGTTTCTTATGACACTGGCGACAAGGTCATCCAGTGCGGACGACACAATGATATCTTTAAATTGTGGTTAATGTGGCGATCAAAGGTAAGTCAACAATTAAATCAATAGATCAATTTTCATCCTCTTCAATCAACTTTAAATCTAATCAATGACACGTATTGATTGTTTAAACTGTAACCATAATCTAATTTAAAGTAACAATAACAAGACTCGTGAATGATGTTAGTTTAATCAGGAAATAAACGGAAACGGAAAACTAGGACAAGAGGGAGTTAAAGTTACATAAATGAAGTTAGGAAAATGTAGTGTAAAAGAAACCACTTCCGGGAAAACTATCATCTTGATATCAACAAGAATTGAAAGAAGATGACAAAAAGTGAGAGAGTGAGAGAGAATTGAACAAAAAAAGATTCGCTTCCTGATTTATCCTCATCTCAGTTTTTCCACCTCCTTCATTGAGCCTCTCCCTCGCTCTCTCTCTCTCTCTCTAGTTCTAATTAAATTGAATATCATCCTTATTCTCTCTCATTTCTTACAGGGTGACACAGGCTACGAGAAGCATATTGACCATCTATTTGATATGACAGAGTGAGTATATCAATTTATTATCATGATGATAATCACAGTTGACTGAAAGTAACTTGAAACTTGTTTACTTTAAGCATAAGGTTATTTTCCTTGTTATTATTACATATTATCATCCATTTATATACAAGGATGCGGAAGATGAGGGAAAATATTAATAACTGTATCATTCTTGTTTATTATCTTGATCCATGATGGTGTTTCTTTATTCATTAGTTATCTGGTGAAAAGATTGAAAGAGGAGAAAGATAAATTTCATCTCATTTGGCCGGAACCGGAATGTGTTAATGTCTGTTTCTGGTATGTTCCAACTCGTCTACGTGGTGTTGATAAAACTCGTGAATGGGAACTTGAATTGGGAAGAGTAAGTATCAAGTTATTCAATTTTAATCATGAATCATAATGAACAATTTTAGGAATAGAAAAGTGAAAAAGTTTCCAATTACATTGATGATAAACTTGATTGACTCGATAAATTGAGTTAATCGAATTTCAGAAAAATTGAAAATTCTTATGAACTTAGCAAGAGATTGAATTTCATTTTCTTCACCCTCTTAATCTTAACTGTTTGATATTCCAATTGAACAGATTACCCCACTTTTGAAGGCTCGAATGATGAATGAAGGAACTCTCATGGTGGGTTATCAACCGCTCGGTGACAAACCCAATTTCTTCCGGAACATCATCTCAAATTTGGGAGTCAAATCGAAGGATATTGACTACCTAATCTCCGAGATGGACCGAATGGGTCACGACCTTTAAAGTGGACATTTATCATGACCAACACGCGAAACCAAAACAAACGTAAAAATAATTCAAAAAAAAAAATTAACCAACGAAAACCAATCAACATAGAGAATCGAGTTTGAAATTTAATCATTTACATAAATTAACTTACTGATTGTTTGTCTTGATAACTATTTTTTGCTTTACTCTATTTCATTATTGACCATCACCCTGTTGACCAATATTTCCTATTTCTCTCTTCCTACTTCCCTTCATCTAATCCTGATCTCTTTAATCTCGATGAAAATCATCATCTTAGTCACATGAAAATGAGATAATAATAAGAATTAATGTTCAGTGGTTTAGAACTTTTTTCCATTATCTTATCCTCCCCACCTCCTTGTGTCCACCTCTGACCTCCCAATTCCCTGAATAACTATAACCTTATTCCGCCTTTCGATGTGAACACTACGAAAAGGGTCATTGTAAATCACTGCCCCTCGAGTCTTTCAATTAAGGATTAACCTTGATGAGCATTAATAGTTTTCACCATTTCACTTGGACATCAAGTTGACCAGTTGATTATAATGATAACATTAATCAATCAACATAAAAGGTTGACAGTTCAAGCAAATTAAGAAAAACTAATTACTGTGACACAATCAAGCTTTATCCTTATGTTACATATCATCATCATTATCATCATTAACTTCATCTTCATCTTCAAACAATTTAAGTGTGAACAATTATCATTATTATGAAAAAGTGAAAACTAATTAACCAAAAAAAATCAAGATAAATCAACAAATTCAATGTTAAAATGATTGTTAATTGATTAACATGATTAGCCATGATTGTAATTACCAAAGTTGAATCAATATTTTGTAAAATTTAATAGACTTAATCAAATCTAATAGTTCAATCAACTAATCATTATTAAGACTGTATCTTGGTCTAATTTGTTGATCACTGATTATCACAATTAACAATGATTACTGCCCAGTGTATACAAAGCAATATCCTCCTCTAAGTGTATCATATCATTAGTATACAATTTAGTAATCTAATCATAACTTAATCATCAACAATTAACAGCAAAATCAAACAAATGTCTTCCAAAAAAGGGAAATCAATCAACTATGATGAACTTGATAACAATTAAATATCAGTGATTATAATGATTAGTGAAACTTAATTTTTATCATTTCTGAAATTGATTTGATTCCCTTTGACAATCTAACTGTTGATTAACAATTAATTAACTCTGAAAGTTTAAATGATTATTTTTGTTTCTCTTTTTTGTCTTGCTCAATATGTGATAATCTCAATTCTGATTCTGAGTCTTAATCAAACAGTTTGTTCAGAATTCAAGCTTAGACAACTAACATGTTAAATCCTTGATGAAACAAAATGCCAAGACAATTAACTAACATATTGAAACAATTAACTAACTAGAAACTGCTTGTAACTTGATCCGTCGCTAATTCAGTGCTAGAGTTTCAATTTTGTATCAGAATCGTTTAAATATCTTATTATTTTGCTTACAGAATCAGAACCAAATTCAGAGATAGTCTAATATTTATCAATATGTAAATAAAAGTATCATGATAACATCAAATGAACTGAACTTATTGTGAATCTCAATTCGTTCCATGTTATTGAAACGACACAATCGAAACTGAAAAAAAAAGAAAACTAGTAAACAGATAAAATAGAATGGAAAATATTTCTTTTATCAGAATTGCAAAGAAAAAAATATTTAAAATCCATGCTCGATATGCTTATCATTCTCTAAATCATTCTATTCTAAATACTCATCATCATTTCAGAAAAAAAATCAAAGGTAAAAATATTAGAGAGAAAAAAAAAGTAACTTAACCGAGACTCTCTCTCTGAAATTTTCAGCATTCTGAGCGATAGAAGAGAAAAAGAATCCAATATATAACATAGAAAATGTGAACAATGAATACCCATCTCAGAAAAAGCTGAGAATTGAGAATAAAATTAATAGTAAATTGTTGCAGTCAAACTGAATGTTATGTCAGGGAAAATACTTGCAACAGAAAATTATTGTAATATAAATTGTGGATAATAAAAATATCAGTATCTTAACAGTCACAAGTGAAAAATATATATTTTTGCTTGGATAAACATTTCCTATCAGTATATCACAAAATGTTGAATATCATATATATGATAGCATACCCTCGATGCATACCCACTTCTTTCTGTAATAGTTTTTGTTGTTGTTCATATTCAATCTCATTCAACCATAAAAACTATAGCAAAAGCTGTTGTACAAGATGAGATATGTATGTATGATATTCAGTAGCCAAGAAAAATGTGAATACGTTTTCCTATTATTGTTATAATCTTTGTATTAGCAAATACACTGATTCATTCTGATTAATTCTGACAAAGTATTCCAAAAGCCACAATTATCATCTAGTTTAAATCCATGTTTAATTAAACCACTTGAAATGGATTAGCATCTCTCTTTTTAATCAGACTTTAATTTCAAGCTTAATCAGGATCGGGAATTAAAAAAGTGTAATAACAAATGTGAAAGATTAACCAATCCTAATATCTAAAGGGTTAATAGTTATCATCTAGAATTCAATTATCAATTAATTTGATCGAGATTAACTTTAGGTGTTTTAGTTTAATGCAATAATAATAACAAAAGAGAATGAGAAAATGTTGATACTTTCATGAAGTTTAATTCATGGGAGTTCAATAGTAGCGAGTAATAAGAAAAAGAGACAATTGATTGGAATCAGAGATTAAGTTTTCTTTTCGGAATTGAGATTATAACCTTGAAATTTATCCTGGTTTCTGATTCAATCTTGAATACCAAGTCAAAGTTACCTTGAAATCCATGGGCCTTGTACCAATGGAATCAGAAAAAAACTTATAACATGATAATTGTTTACAGAAATATAACTAGAGAGCTAATTATGTGTATTAAAAGGAAACGGAAATTATCATATTTGCACAAAAAAGATGTTCAAGAGATTGAAAAAAGGAAAAAGACTCTGAATCCTTTTCCATTAGTCGAAATGAACATTTTCCATCTGTAGTCATGCTCAAATAGAACGAAATATAGAAGTAATCAGTTCATTCAGAATTTAGAACTTCTCATATTTTTCGAACTTATGATCAACTTAAAATATCAATCAGATTCTATTTACAATCTGAAATCAATTAAAATTCTAACATTTAATCAGCTCTTTCTTTCAATCAGCAAGTTCAAAATTGAACTTAGTTTCAATGAGAACTTTCATCACCTACAAGACGAAGGTTAAGACTCACAAGAAATGTTCTAATTAAAATGAAATAATATCCCCATAACCTTCACCCCTCTACTATAATTACATGATAAAATTCATTCCTCCTACTTATTAATAACCTCAAACAAAATATTCCAACCATAACTTGATCACCTCCACATCCTCATCCCTTTGCATTTGACACAATAAATGAAAGATGCAATTGATGACTGAAAAAAGCCAAGAATCTAAAATCATATCAATGAAAAAGTATAAATTAACAATCAAAAAGTTAATGACAAACAATCAACAAATTGTATCAACAAATTAAATATGAAAATGATCATCAAATTAACATAAACATGATGATAACAATTTTCAATTTGTATAAATTTAAATCTTTCAATTGTTCATATCATTTCATCATCATAATGATAATATCAACAGAAGAAGAAGAATAAAAAAATATCAAAATCGTCTAGAATCGAGGGCGTGGCTAAAAATAATATCGAACCTAAAATGGTTGTTTAAACACGCCTTAATCAGATTCTATTCCAACTGGAATCTCCTCCTATATCATGTTATCCTGAAACAGAATTTGAATTCTCTATGAATATGTTTCTAATCATCTTGATTAACCATAACCATCATAATTCATGATTCATCAAGATAATCCACTTGATTGATTTTAGATGAAAACTATTAACCCTTTTTTCAATCTTAATCCACTTGTTTATATAATAATTAAAAGCATTGTGTTAATAATCTAGATTATATCAATGTACCAAATGAATTGTCAGTTAACTTTAATTACAATTAACTGATTGATCAAGAGTTTTGGTTTTGACCTCACCTCGACAATTAGATTAACTTGAACATGATCAATTTCATCTGAACAAAATTTAATTTGATCTTGTGTAAATATAATTTAAATTTCTTGATTACTGATGATCATATTTGAGATAATTAACTGTAACCAATTGCTTTTGATTTTCTTCTGTAATTTATAAATTATCTATTAATTGTCCTCCTCAACAATCAACAATCAACCATTGTAAATTGATAATCATTGTCATTTAATTGTAACAGTTTCTCATCATTAGAAATTAACCAAAATGATGTTTCCTTTGTTTCTTTGATTGCTTTTTGAGTGCCTAAATGGATCTAATTAAAATAAAATCTTCTAATTAACCCAAAAATAACCTTAATTGTTCAACTTATTATTTAAAGAAATATCAACGAATACTAATCATTTCAATCACAATTTGAATCGAGTGAAGAGTAACTTCCATCTATTGAGTAAGAAAAGAACTAAAAATTTTTGATTTCGAATAAAATCTAATTTAATTAACTTAATCAGCCAGGTGATTTAATTAGTGTTTCTTAATCTCATAAATAAAAAGTTGATGTTTATTCAATGGAAAGAAAAAGATGAAAAAAGTTGCTAATTTAATTAAATTTTCGATAATCAATTCAAGGAGTCAAGTGACCCATTATTCAAAATGATTACATGTAAATTGCAGAATGATAAAGGTCGACAATCAAATTGTTAACTTGGGAGTAAAAAAGTTTCAACAATCAATCAACTATCGAGGTAATTACAGTCGAAAGTGTTAAAATTTTTCTCGGTCAAGAAAGTAGGTCACATTTTTGGTTACCGAGAATGCTAACAGGTGGCGAGATCGATTGGACACAATTCTAATTGTTTGATAAATTTTTTCTTTGTTCTCTCTTTCAAGTCTCCAATAGATAAGCAATCGCTTCGTTGTTATCCAATCGAGCGGCCGTACATCGAGCTTGAACCGCTCGAAGACCAGTATCGTAATTGGGATCATACTTTTAACAAAGGTTGGTCATGGCCGTTGATCCATTGGAATATGTACCTGGACCCAATGTCACCTATTCTAATATTTTCTGCCTTCCTTGTGTCAAAACCTTTTCCACTTCTGATTAGGCCTCTTGTCCAGCCGAAGGATGTTTAATAAGTGGTTTTGATTAGTCAATTGTCGTTGATTTAGGCGCACTGATGCCATTACTTTATTATTATACACTTCGATAAGAATTGTACAGATTTTTTTGAAATCACTACTAAAGCATTGAGAAATAGGTGTAGATGGAGGATTAATATCAGCCATGATGAATATTTTGGTGACCAATCTTTGGACTTTAAACAAAAAAACATCCGTTATGTTGAAAACAAAAATTTTCATTTTTCACATTTTACCGGTTAAAGGTTTAACCATTAACTAAATAGATTGAACAATCCGATGATAGTAATAATTATATTCCATAGATTGGATGCTTGCGGAGTATTAGAATTACAGTTGAAGGTGACATTCGAGACGTTGGTTAGTTTAAGATTGGTGATATTGGTTAGTTTACAATTTCCTGATGACATTGGGGGAGCATTCACCTGAAGAAATAGAGAAAACAAAAAAATTACGAGCAACATCTTCATATGAGAATTAAATTACAAATGAGATTACAATTACAATTAAAATCTTGATTGATTTATCGATATGATTTAATTGATAGAAAATTGAAGTCATTAACATAAAAAGGTATGTGGAAAACACCAGTATCAAGTTTTCAGGCTCTTATGTCGTTGGGGTAAACTGTTAAGATAAGTATTGTTAATTTAAGAATCTCAGTAACTTTTTAATTAAACTGCAATATCTTCTGCTTGACAGTTACAACAAACTTCAAAATCTCAACTCAGGATGAATAATCTTGGAAAATCATAAAATGACCATCAAATGACCTTGAAACGCGTTACTTTACCAGTGACCTGAATGACCTTGATCTTTTAATATGACGATTGAGTGTCGCTAAAACTCATACCACTCAAGTCTCGAGTCTCTTTCACAGTCACCACTTCTGTTTTCTATCTCTTTTCTCTTTTTTAATTCGAAGCTACTGAAGTTCGATTGATGTTTTTTTCGATAATTTTTACTCTGCATTTGCAGCCTTACCCATTTATAAGAACTGGCCTAATTGATTATGATTAGATCGACAATAGAATCTTGGAACAGCTTCTTCGTTGCCAAGGAAACACCGGTGGAGCCGCGGTTCATTCAGAAAGAGTAAAAGACGATCTCGAATGATATCGATAAATAATGATAACGAATTTCAGATACATGGAAATGAAAAGATAATTCCATTTTCTAACTTTCTACTTAATTCTCAAGGTCAAATGATTAAAATTGACCTTTTTCTAACCAGTTCTTGAACTTTTTTTGAAAAAATTGATTCTATTATCCGTAGAAGATCATATAACAGATCACTAGTCATGATCTGATCAGAATTTAATTAATATCTTTAGACAGATCAATTAATTTAAGCTTTTCTAAAACTCATTAGCTCCAGATTCTTCGGCACTACGATAGTTCAAACTATTTTCTTCTAATTAGTGAACAGTTCTCATAAATTGGCTCTTTAAAGTTGCCTTTCTTTTTCCATCAAAATCGATTAATATACCAACTTGTATGAACATAAAAGTTGATACATTTGATTTTATCGATCATTGTTTTTTTAATACAATTTAACTGAAAACTTATCTAAAAAATAGACCAAAAATTATTAATTGTAACTTTGTCTCATTTGCTTTGTGATAATATTAGTTTACGTTTTCGACGCGAGATGGCGATGCTCTGATCATAAACACAATCAGTTGATTGTAAGCAATTTGTTTTTGAATTGGTTAAGAAATTATTAGTTATTTTGAAATGTTTTAATTTATTAATCTCAATCAGTTTTTACAGAGAATTGAATGTTCCTCGAATGCAAAAGAAGATGGAAAATTTTCATAAGGAGAGAAGAAAGTTTTTGTTTCGATTTCAGAGGAACCACCAAAAAATATATTTACTCTATTTACAAGTGTGTAAATTAATGACTCGAATTTAAAATTTGATTATAATTTTCTGGTCACAGGATAATCATGATAGTAATTAAAATGGTAATTAATTGGTTAACTCTCAATAATGATCCATGTAAAACGTTTCCAGATCCTGAGCCCATTGTGACTGGAAAATGAGAAAAGAAAACAAACAATTCAATTGATTAGATGGATAGTTAATTATTCATTGAATATAATTGATTGATTACCTTGATCGGCTGTGTTAACTGCTGCTGATTCACTTTTTGATTCACGAGTTTTCCTAATTGTTTGCTCTTTACTAGATTGAAATAATATCTCCTCATAGAGAGCGTAACATTTGAGGACAATCTTAGATCGCTTTAGGTCATTTAGATCAGACCATTTAGTGAAAAACGATTGATTCAAATTGAACATTAAACTAAGCTTCGTATTGTTCAATGAATCGATAGGATGAGTTTGAATCATATCTCGAGTTGCCTACAGACAAAAGATAAAGTGAAAGATTAGTTTCAAAAGGATTAAGATTAAAATGATTATCATCCAATTTCTTGATAATCTCACCTCGATATTATTAATCAACCAAGTTAGTTTTGTGGGTGTTGAATGAACCGGAGATTTGCCACTTTGACAAGTTAAATTAACTCGATCTCGAGGTTGATAAGATGATTTTAATCCTTCAATTCTTAAATCTCCTTCCTTGTTAATTATTGAATCATTGGTTGGATTAATTGATTCAATACCTCGTCCAGATGAGGATCTGATTAATCCCACTTGAAAAACTACATGAGAGATAAAAAAAAAATATAACAAACCACAGAAAGAAACATGAATCAGAATCAATCATGATAGTTTTTCACCAAAAAACAATCATCATAATCATCATGCTGACAGGATGATGATGATAAAAAGATGAGGATGAGGATGAAAGGCAGAACAAAAAAGCAACTGCAATTGTCAGAATCAATCAACATATTAACATGAAATCCCGCCTTGAGATTATTAATTATTATTCCAAGGTAATTTTTCTGTATGATTTCTTGTTGATAACAATAATTTGACTCCAATTTCATCTCCCTATTGGGAAATCATCAGAATGAACATTCAGGGAAGAGATAGTTGAGTCTCGAAGAGTTTGTTGTTTTTTTCTTCCGAGTAATATTGTCATGATAATCTGAGTTACACCCAAGAATCAACAATTCTTGCATGTTGACAATCAGATAAACTTGATCGTTGGTTAATCTCAATCAATTTGATACATTGATATAAATCTTATATAAAAGTTATGACAGTTAAGAGTTACAATTATAATCAACATGACACAATCAAATATTATGTTGATATTTGATTGACTTGATTGTATAGTTAATAATTGTTTAATCATCAACCAGGATTGTTGATTCAATTAAAGTAGTTTTTTTTTGTTGTACCAGAAAATGTAACCATGTAATTATTACATTGAAATTAAATTTGCAAACAGTTAATTCAATGTTAATTGTAGTGGAAATTCAAATGCAACTAATTGTAAACATGTTAGTTCAATAGCAACGATTTTTTTTTCTTCTTCTTCTAAAGTCTCAATACAATTCAATTTAGTTTACAATTAATTCAGTTAAATTGAATTGCAATCAAACGTTACAGAAATGCAATTGGCAATTACAATCATGTAATAGTTAGATTCAATTGCAAGTTACATTACCTCAACTAATGTGATTCACTATTGACTTTAAGTAGTTTTAATTAGTTTCTCTCTGTCTCTATCTATTACTACTTTTGCCGAGTACATTGATTCATGTTTAATTTCATCAATTAATTAAGAGTAGGATACAAGTAGCTGCTTGATCACTAATTGTTGAATCAACTCACCTGAAGTAAAACTATCATTAGACCTTTGATTTACAGGTTTAATTGATATCTGAGCCACTTCTGAAAAGCTTTGTACAAATTGTGATTCACAACGAAGTCGATAGTAATTATCTTTTGGATTATTTTGATAAATTGGAAACAAAAGTCGAATCTGTGATGATCTTAATCCATTTGATGGATCATCGGATACATTGAGATAATCCTCATCGTAAACATATTGTTTAGGTGCTGGTGTCTCATTGATATACCAGGATAAACGCGCTTTCGGCTTGGAAGGTCCACTTTTACAAGTAACATTGATAAAATCAACATTTCCAATGGTTGATGTTGTCGGTGAAATTGTTGGACCTTTTTCAGGTAAATCTGAATTGGAAAAAGATTAGAACAATTAAAAAATAAATCTAATTAATCAACCATTTAAACTCAAACAAAATTAATCAACAATCATTACCAAATTCAACTGATTACAATTTATACAAAGGAAAATAACAAAGTCAATAGTCACTTTTGTCCATTTTAATGACCATTAGTTAATTTAGTCAGTTGATTGCCTGCGGGCTTTTTGAATTTAGATAATACAATCAGATTGAAAATAAACATGACATAAATTTTTAGAATCCATTGTAAATTAATAACCAACAAATTTACTGTTAAATTGTAATCAAAAGTCAACAATTGAACTTAAATTAACAGAATCCTTGTTGAATGCAAGAAAATTTTACTATCCTTGGGAAGTGAATTCAATTCAACTTTAAATTATCGATTCCCTGGTAATTTTAATCAACTTCAATCAGAAGGAAACATCAAATTAATCATGTAAGTTGAAACTTTACAAGTATTTAGATCACAATTAATAAAATCATTTTCTCAATGTTTCTCTTACTGGACAAAGGAATCAACAATGGTCCGGTCTCAAGGCTTTCGCTTTTTATTTAAGTTCAATTAATTTCTTATATTGTATGTTCGTTGGTTTATTAGTTAGCAAAATAACTATTGGGTTCAGTTGGGCTCTTTTTTGCATGGTATTGCACCCAATCGGTGTTTTAGCTGAATCAATTGCTCTTCAGGCATTTTTCTTTGTAATTACTCTAATATTCTTCATAGTGCAAACATTCATATTAATAATATTCTCCATCACACTTAAACCAAGTTATCAATTCATAAATGACACCGAGCTTGACAGAGATTGGCTTATTGTCTCCTTTATTTTAACTTTTTGTGGATTTCATGTGTTACACCTTTTATTTTTCGCTCTCAATATTAATGAATTAATGGAAAAGAGAAATTTACAATTTCCAATGGCCTTAAACTGGCGTTCTCCATATTTTCGCCCTGCCCCTGTTCCTCATTACCCTGGTAGTGTTTGAAGTTCTTAATTCCAAACTACAAGAACTAACCTGTCGTTAATCCTACTCTTTACTCTAACTTGAGGCAAAAAGATACAATAAAGTGTTATCGATACATTTTCTCCTTTGAAATACCATCGAAATTAAATTTTAATATCAATCTTACAAAATTAGAACGATTTTTATCACAATTTTTTTTTTTCCTTCTATTAATCATAGAAATTACAAGAATTTTCTCATTCAATCCAATCTATTCACCTTCAGGGCATTCCAAAAATTACAGATACAATTATCTTCTAGATAACTAAGATAAACTGTATCTTGATTGATTTTGATGTTCATCATTCTAGATCATTCATAACAACCAATTAGTTGAAGCAACATGGTAATTGAGTTGATCAAAAATTAAGATTCAATGTTAACACAAGCGTATAGATGGAGCTAAGTGTTAATAATTGTGATAAAATTGATTATTATCTTGATTGTTTTGACTGATAAATCATTCTGGTGGATAACAATTATGTTCATTAATTAAGCCATCGGAGTGTAAATTGGTGATAATTGAACATTTTATTTGTTTGATCATCACATTGATATCAATTACCTGTGTGAAACTTTTCATTATAAAAAGTTTGGTAAACAAATTTAATAATAAAAAAGGACAAACAGTTTACTGATCAATATTAGGTATTGATGATCAGATGATAAAGTTTTGTTTTGTCTTGATGTTGATTGTCGACAACAATTGACCGGAAAAGGTGAATTGATTGTTGGTTAACTGATACATTGTGTCTATGTGAGTGTAACAGCAAACAATCATTGACCAGTAGAGGTGGAAGGTAAAATTAATGATACCAGAGAAGTGGAAATGAGAGTGAGAGAGACACAAAAAGGTAGATGAGGGTGAGAAAGAGAAAGAGAAAGTAAGAAGATGAAAATGATGAGGATGATGAAGAGCTAAGAGGAGGATAAAAAGGAGAGATAAGGGGGAGAGGAAGGAAAAAGACTATTATTGAAAAAACTGTAAAGGTAAGAGGATAAAAGAGCCATGTGTTTTTTGTATTATCCTAGGAAACGATAACACCTCTGACCTTAAGTGTGCCAACTTTGACCTTATTTTGTTTATCTATTACTTTGTTTACTATTTGGTATACAGCTGATTGTTGTCACATTTGTACCATTGGTCTTGGTTGTTTTCTCCTCTTTCATTGACACTTACGAGTGTCCAGTTTGTCCAGTAAAATGTGAAAATTAATGTCACGGTAATTTGATCAATTATCTATTGTTAATATAATACACTCGATGTTATTTTTTTCTTTCTGTAAGTGATTACATTTCAACAGCTGATTTTTAGATTAAATCAAAGATTAAGATTACGATTACGATTACGATTAGAAACCTAAATAATTCATCTTTGAGCTTAGTTTGCGGTTTAATTGTTGTTAAATTAGAATAATTAATCACATAGTTAATCTTATTTATCACTGGAATAGCAACTAGTTGTTGTACGATTAAATATGATAAGCAAATTGTTGCATAATTAACTTTTTGTGTCGCTTTTTATTACAATATCAATTTAATTGTCTTCTATCTAATACTTTTATTGCACCTAATTGTCAAATTGTATCAACAAAGAAAAGTTAATTGAGTGGATTGTAATTAAGGTTAAGAAATGTTAATCATTGTGGTAATTTAAATTCATTGAAAAGGATTACTAGGAAATGGAAATGATTAACATAACAAATGTATTCATGAGTATTTTTCTCAGTCAAGTTTGATCAATAAAAAGCAAAACTAATTTCACTATTGGTCATCAACTGGACTCGCGACAATAAATCAAATCAAAGTTAATCTTAATCTACAGACAAAGCTTATCATTAGGATAAGGATGAAGATGATAATGATCATGTTAAGTGTTAATCATCTGAGGATCCTACAGAGATGATGATTAAAAGTTACATCAAAAATGGGATATTATTGAAAATGATGATTAAGGTTTTTGAGATTAAGGGTAAAGATTAACCATGAATATGATTATAACCTTTAATGTGATAAATATATTAAGTAATAAATAGTAATAGGAAATGAGTGAGGGGATTAAATGTGATAAAGATGATGAAAAGGGAGAGTAAGAGTGAGAATGAGAAAGATTCAATTCAATAGTTTAGTTCCGAAAATGATGGACCCAAGTCACCATTTACCAGCGAAGGAGCAAAGAGTGAGAGAGTATTAATAATAATAATCATCGTCCCAAAAAATTATTACGGTGATACAATAATATTAATAAAATGTTACATATCTAAAGTATGAGGATCATCATGACGAAGCCTTGAAATTACATGATATCAGTTCAGGAAATTTCAACCTCTTTTTTTTCATGTTACAAGAAACATTTATATAAGTTTATCATGATTGCAGATATGTTTTTGTATTAATACCTTGGCAATAACCAATGAAATTGTAACAAGCTTATGAAGCTGAGTAAGTATATGTTTCTGTTGGGAAAGAGGAAGAAAAAAAATAATAACAAAATATTGTAACAGGAATGTGAGAGTTCAATGGTGTTTATCACGAAATCATTAGGAAGATGATGAAGGAAAGGATTTCATGTCAACAACTGAGTCTTTTTTTTATTTTAAGAGTCTCCCTAGAGATGATGATGATGATGATGATGATGATGATGATGATGATGACTATCATCTTCATTCATCTTTCTTCATCTCTTAGACTTTGGTATTGGCTCTCACTTTGGTTGAACTAAATTACTGTGGATTGCCCTTCGGCTAGGATTCAATTGCTTCTGATTCTTAATGCTCAATGAAACTGATCACTTTCACTTCATGATAATGATGATATTGGTGCTGAATTTGATGATGATGATAAGCTGGAAAGTAAAGAAAAAGATTCAGGAAGACATGGAATACCCTGAAATATTAATAGTTTCTGATTATGATGAAAGTAAATTGGTTCCAAGTTATTATCAATTATTATCTTTATCTCAAGTTTCTATTAGTTGAGCAAATGCTAGTTGATTTTTTTCATATTCCTGATGATGATTTCCTGATAATCAATATAATGAGAGGCTAATTTGCTAATAACGATAACAAAAACACAGCTAATAGCTGAAAATCAGCTCAAAGCGATTACCATGGTTCCCATGTGAGACCTTCAATTCACATTGGTAACCATCAACCAATTAAGATATCAAAATACAGGTAAGAAAGGCCAAGTCTATCAACAGACTAACTAATTGAATGTAATCAGCACAACCAAAAAATTTAACTACAACAATTTATTGACTGTGAGCAACTTTTTTCAATGCTCACGAGCTAAAACATAATCACAATGCAAATGTAATCAATTTTGTGCTGAATATTAATCAACCTTTACCGTTTTGCATTGATAATTAACTGATTAATATTAAATTATCATCTTGTATCAAGATTAATAGGTAACATATGATAAACATGAAATGAAGCCAATGTTTATCATTGAATTAAAGTAAACGCATCATTTGATTTATTTTCAAGGTAAAAATTATATTCACATAGACACTAAACAAGGAAAGGTAAAAACTGCAATTACAACTGCGTGTCTAAATCCACAATTTGATCAACTTTATCATCATCATCATCATCATGCAATCATAATGATAATGATAAAAATATAATAGATATCAACAATGATGCTGATTATTTTGGTTCTTAATGATGTCGGTTCACCTAATTTTTTTTTTCGGGTACAAACATCAATCCTAATGATAACATTTGATAGTAGGAAGAGGAGGAGGAGGAGGAAAGGGTCCACTCTGTAGTTGACAATGTTGTTGACTACATGATTGTTATCATAAACAAAAGGGACTTTGGTCAGGGATGAATGGGAACTGGCCTTTCATATGCATACCAATTGATAGTATTAAACATAAATGACCTGGGTCAGTAAACTAGAAACCCTAAATTAGAGGTCAGTTAATTTGAATACATTTTGTGTGTGACTGTAAGTTTGTGGCATTAAAAA